GAATTGGTTGAGGCGATTCAGCTTGAGGCACGACATGTGGTCTGTCTTTTTTAGAAGGAACCCTCAAATGGATGGTTTTAAAGGGCAACCAAAACAAAACCACAAATTTTTGGGGTTCCCCTATTTGGAGACATCCCCATGTCGAGTCCTGAGGATCTCCAAGTCGGCGAAGTATCCCTTCTTCATGGGCTACTCCTTCTTCGAGTTCACGAGGAGTTACTGGAAGGGCGGGCCTGAGATGGAGTTCGGCATGTTCGGCACCTCGGCAGATCGGGCGGCGGATCCTCGGTCAACGGGCCGAAGGTTGGCCAGAAGAGCTGGTTGGAGCTCGCCGCATTTTTCGGTTGCGAAAGGGCCCCGCCAACTGGCCAGCTGGCCCGGTAGTTCTCATCCTTTTTTCAACAGTTTGGTAGGGCTGCGGGCGTATTGGGAGACTGCTTTAGGGGAATTTGCTTGATGCAAGAAAGGTCACCACTTAGAGCCGGGTTTGGAGAGCAAGTGGCGGGTGAATATGAGCGCACCGGGTCCTCGGTTCCTTGGGAGCAGTTTCTCGAGGCTATGGCGACTGCCCATTGATGGACATGAACTACACCGGCACGACTTACACGATTTGGAATCTGACTCTCGGCCTGGATACTGGCAGAGGGAACCCTCAGCAAGCCCCAACCCTTCGTGTTCCAAAAAATTTGCAGCTGGCACCCACCCGCCCGTGTGGTTCGGGCTCCCGAGTAGAATGTTCTCCCGGGACAGCGACGTAAACCAAGCCCCCCAGATCCCAGATGCGAGCGTGCCTCGTGCCTGGAGGATTCCGATGAAGGACCGGCGCGGCTATGAGCTTCCCCGGGCCCTGCGGAAGGCCTTCAAGAAGGCGAAGCGGATCGCTGGGAATCGGCAGTCGTGGGGAAAGACCCCAGGCACTCGTGGAGGTTTTGGAGGGAGCGGCGGCCTTTTTTTGTTGATCCTGAGACTGTTGGCAGATCAGTAGCTCTCACCTAGCTCTTTTGAAGCCGTTAGTTGAGGCCAAGCTGGTTGAGCTTTTTTGCTTTTAAGCCATCAGCGATCCATCATGGCGAGCCCTATTTGCTGGGCGACGAAGGCAGTGTTTCCAGCCAGCACGTGACATGACCCGGAACATGCCACTCAAGAGAAGCGGGCTGAGCCGTGCAATCACAGAACAATCGTTTGGGACAGCTGGCCAAGAAACCCGGGGCGTTTGGAACTTGGAAGGGTCTTCAATCGGGCATCACACATCAGCGTGTCAGTCTTTGTGAAGGATCCTGCCATCCTTCCCTTGCTTCAAATCAGCTCCAGGAAGCAGACAGACATGGCCGTGGGTCAACACCAATGGTACCATTTTGGGGTTTTCGGTGAATTCACCACCCATTTTAGAACCTATGTTAGTGGTTGGATTGGGACGTTCACTGGGGCGTACGATTTACCCATGGCCACGTTGGGCCATGTCCGAACTTCAGGAAGCCACGCTGCCGAAGCTGCAGCCTGGCCGAGGATGAGACGCTTCGGTTTCGGGATCGGCATGCCACCAGAGGAATGGAAAGGCCCAGGGGCCTTTGGAACTCGCGGCCGGGGTTTGTTCTGAGGGAAGACACGAAGCATACCCATCAAGGGTGTTGCTTGGGCGAGGCCCCCTCTTCTTCTTTGGCCCCGAGGTGGCAAGGCACTTGTGGAGAGTGCATGTCAGCAATCGCACGCTGTGGTTTTGGCCGGCACCAAAACACTTGTTTGATGGGTATTCGACAAGCCAAGCTGCGCAGCTCCCTAGCACTTGAGGATTTTTCGGTTCCAAGTCTTTCAACAACTCAGCTTTTTCTGCTCCTTGAATATGTGGGAGGGCGGCACACCGGGACTGGTGCACATGTCCTGAGTTTGCAAAGACGCAGCGTCATTGTGGTGTGTCTTTTTGCTCCCCATTTTGGGTTGGTTTTAGCTGGACGCCAAAAGTAATCTGTTCAGTTTGGGGGTTCCCGTTCATTGTCTGCCGAGGAAGCGCACCTTAAGGCAAATCCGCCGCACGCTGGTAAGGCTGTCGCACCCTGACGTGCCCTGCAAGGCGTCCACCAAGGGCGTGCCATAGGCGGGACGAAGAAGCACGGCATGCTGGGGACTGATGGGTGTGTCTTAGCACATGCATGCCAATGTGCACGTGTGCAAACGTGCAAACATACAGACAGCGCTTGTTTGGGCACGCTTGCGCAATTGATATGCCGTGACTGTTTGCAAGATGGTAGCGTATGATGCGTTGCATTGGTAACATGCTTGTTGAGACTGACTTATAGGCGAACACATTGACATTTGGTAATGATGAGACTGAGCTGACATCTAGAGGCTTTGCAGTATCACTGCAATCCAAATCCCACATGAGGGTCAGGGCATGTTGAAGTTGAGGTCCTGTGTCGAACTTCATCCAGTCCGGTTCTGGAGAAAGCTGTCAAAGCAAACCTTCGTTAGACTTCTATTCCGTTCGATCCTGCAAACCGGAGAGTAGGCACGCATGACATGCTTTCCAGGGCCTTCACGAAGAGACAAGCCTTATTTCCTTCAGTCGTCATCATTCTGAGACTCTGAGCCTCACTCACAGAGCTGGCAAATGTGCAGTGATGCCATCAATTGAAGCTGATTTCTTCCTCTACTTGCTTGGCTTTGTCAACCTTCCTCAGAGCGACAAGTTGAATGGCCCGGAAGTGTCGCTGTTGCAAATTCAAAGTCGCCCTGCAACAATGTTGATCCTTGATGTGAGAGGAACGCATGTCCAACATGGCCTTGTTCTTTGTCCTTTGGTCGCCCTTTTGCAACTTCTCAAAAGGTGCACCCTCAAAAAGGACACAACTCATATGACATGTTCTAACCCTCCTCATCTCATCCTGAACAGTCGGAGCATGCCTCAGGCCTCCATGGATCACGGGACACTCGTGAGCAGCTGGCGCACGACTCTCGAAGCAGAGCAGTGGCGGCCGACACACAGTTGCACCGCGCGATGGCAGGGAACAACGATGAAACCAACTCAGAGTCTTTCCGTGCAACTTGAAATAATACGTTCATTCACGGCTTGTGCCCACGTGCTTCTTGAAGTGAACCTGCCAGGGCCCAAGCGATTCCGTACTTGCCCGACACTTGCGCGGCCAAAGTGCTTCAAGCGCCAAGTGCTCCCATATAGCAATTCTTAGTGCGTAGCATGTTGAGAATGCGAGTCTGACTCAGCAGGTAAAACTGCTGGCCGGCAGTCAAGATCCAGCTAGGTGCCCTGCTGGCTGAAAGGGACTGAGCATGCTCGTTTACCCCTCCAGTGAGGCCTTCAGACCTCTACATTTTGGCTCAAGATGCTCAAGTTTTTCACCGCCAGAAGTGCTGAGCTCAATTTTGGTATGGGCAGCAGCAAGCAGCCTGAGTCCCTGTGCCGTGGTAGCCACTGGCCAACATTGCTGACGGAACAATGGAACACTTCAAGCTGGCCATGAGCAGCGACTTGAGGAGAAAACTCCAAGATCCGCACTTTGTTGCAAGTTGGTGCGACTTGGCTCAGGAGATCTAGATCCACATGAAGCCATCAGGGGTCTATGGCCTGTCTGACCGCTCGGACAGGCGGGACAGATGGCTGGGCGCATCAGCAAAGAACTCTTCGCTGAAATGGTGGCCGCTCAAAAGGGGACCAAGCCGATCAGAATGATTCCGCACTCGCGTGGGATGGCATGCGGACAGCTGCGACATCTTGACACATTGTTCGTTCAAACTGGATGGCTAGCCGGGCAGTGTGAGTCCTTCGAACAGGGCGAATGCGGAAGCTATTCTGAATGGCACAAGCTGCGAACAACGTCCCCATTTGTATGTGTTGGACACATTTGTGGTGACCCCTATGTGGAAGCCAATTGCAAAGCCCGAGAACAAGACTCTCAACGGACAAGAAGCTCTTCGCATGTCAGTGTTTTCTGAACCGGTGAATCCATATGGCCTCATGGTGCATTGATTCGCGTCTCACCTTTGCGGCCACGACTTTGGAAGCAGAGTCGCGCGAGCAGATGTGAGCAGATGAGCAGAAGATGATGTCAGAGGAGGCGCTCGTATTTTGGATTTGCAACCAGCATAACATGGCTGAGGAGGTGGGGGAAATCCCCAGCGGGGGCCATTCAATTCGGCGCTTGCACAAGCCACTGCTGGTGCAGTGATGGTTCTGGATGAACATACGATGCCTTTTTCACGCACTTGGTGCCTTTTTGAGACCTTCCGCTTGCGAGAGCTGCGGCAGCCCTTTGCATTGATTTGCAGCGGAAGATGCTGGAAGTCACTTACGAGGCACTGTGGAATGTTTCGGCTTTGGGTCAAAGCTCCGTTGAGGCAGACAAGTTCCAGATTTGGGCCGAGGTGGTCGAGAAATCCTTGAAGGCTGAGATGCCTGGAAAGGGCGCCGAACTTTATTTCAAGCCATTGGGGACACTGAGTGGACGCAGGGGCTTTTGCGCGACTTCGAGTACGTTAAATCACTTTTCCCACCACAATGCTTCAGATCTTGCTCGCCAATGGTGACAGCGGCGAAGTGCTTCATTTGCACTGAGCAGCTTGACCCTGACCGGAAGCAAACATTTGTCGCTGTGTTATGTCCCGGCACTGATGACTGCTGCTCGAGGAGGCTACGTCGCAAAGGTGCTGCTGGAGTATGGTGCTTGCTGTTGATAGCTGCTGGCAGCGTCTGCAATTGACTAAGCAGACTCTGTGCAGCCACAGGAGGCATGATTCGGGGTCCCACAGATTTACGATTCCTTGCAGGGGATCCAGGAAGAGTGGCCATGATAAGAGGCGTTTGTCAATTTCTCGAATGAGTTAGGTTGCAAAGCGTCGATAGACAGAACATTTTTGACCACGTGGCCATGAAAATAACACACCTCCAGTCAGAATCGGGCGCTTTGCGTATCCCAGTGCCCGGATTTTGCCGAGCGTTCATTCCTCGATCTCTTATGCGACAGCTTGGCTGAAAGCAAAGCGAGCCTCAGGCCGGAATCCTCTGTGGCGCTGTGCGTGGCAACCTGCCAAGTGCTGCTGGCAGCTGGGACGAAATTTTGATGCGCGAGTCCTTTTTGTTTCCCAAATTCCGGAGAACCCTTCTTGGATGGTTGCAAAAGGGAGCCAAGAGGCAGCCATGAAAACTTTTGGAAACACCCATGTGGTAGGAACTGGGACTGGCCTGGCCATACGGTTGGGCTGTGAAGGCTTCACCACCCTTCGCCAAACAAGAATGCCACTTCTGATAAGTCGCTTAGGGTTGTCCCTGAGGCCACAGGTGTGATATGTGCATATTTATTCCTTTGCAACGATTCACAACAGGATGTAGAACAGCTGCCTTTGGATATCGTTAACGATCATGGAAGCAGTCGCGTGTGGTGATGGAATCTCGCATCGTGCCAAGGACTACGGCATGCACCAGGCCAGTGGGCACGGATAAAGGGGGACAGGAATCGGCGATCGACTTTCGGCAAGCCCGGGAAAATACTGTACAAGCTGGGGAATCCTGCATCGTTGACCTCTTTTTGGATGGTTCTTTCAGGTGAACCAAAATAACAACTCACCAATTGCAGGTCTTCCCATTCTAGGCAGCACCCATTTGAGGAAGCGGTGGTTTTCTCTATCTCTATGGAACACTTCTATGGAATGTCCCTTTCAGAAAGTTTTCTTTTGGGTAGCGTTGGGCACTCATCTTGCCTTCCCTTTGTCTGGAAGAGCTGTCGGATGGCGTTTCAGGACGCACAGCAGCTGTCGGCCTCGCTGAGATCGCGGCCCGGGCTCGGTGCTAGCCTTTGGTGGCCGAGGGAATCGGTTGCAGATGGGTTAGGTGACATGGGTTAGGTGTCATGACATATTGTATGCATATCAAAGCATACTCTTAATGCCGCTGGTTTCTTTTTGGCAGTGATTGTGTAGGTGGCCGCTTGTGCTCATCTCAGGGAACCCTTTGCTGCATGCGGATTCACACACGCTGACCTTCGCTCATCCTTCTGCCTGCCCAAGCAACGCACAATGCAACCGCATGACATCAATACGAGTTGAATGGTTTTAGAAAGGCCGGTGTCGGGGGCCCCCCAAAAATCCAACAAAACATTCTTCAATTGTTGGAACAATTGTTTGGCAAAACCTTGGGATAAAACAATTGTTTGGACAATTATTTTGCAAAACCTGTCAAAATACAACAATTGTTTGAACAATTGTTTTGCAAAACCTGTCCAAGCACAACAATTGTTTGGACAATTGTTTTGCACATCCTGCCCAGGTACAACAATTGTTTGGACAATTGTTTTGCAAAACCTGTCAAAGAACAACAATGGTTTGGACAATTGTTTTGCAAAACCTGCCCAGGTACAACAATTGTTTGGACAATTGTTTTGCAAAACCTGTCAACACACAACAATTGTTTGACAATTGTTTTGCACAACCTTTCAAAATACAACAATTGTTTGGACAATTGTTTTGCACAACCTGTTAAAGTACCACAACTGTTTTGACAATTGTTTTGCAAAACCTGCCCAGATGCAACAGCTGATGAGACGTTAGCTTGCTTTAGGCTAGGCATTGGTTTGCACGCCTTGCACCACTGTGCAATTCTTTCTTTGCAGCACCTTCAAACTTCCAACGGGCAACAATGATCCACAAAGTATGACATGTTTGCTTGGGGCCTTTGATTTGTGAAGCTGCAACTTCAGTAATTTAGTAGGGGCATCTATCGAAAATGAATCGAGTTGTTAGAACTCACGTGACGAAGCTGTAAGTTACAAGTTCATGTTGAAAGGCGGCTTTGCCTGCTTTCCACCAAGCAAGAACTAATATCTGTGTAAATTTATATATATATATACATATACATATAGACTTATATAGATGTATGTGTATACATCTACTCTCCAAGATGACGTCAGAATGTAGTCATTGCGCGCAACAGCGCAACACGAGGAAGAAACACCAAGAGCGCGGCTTGTGTGCAAGTTGTACCTGGTCCCTGTAGCATTGTCATTTCGTTGGGTTATGCTCCATCACTCCAGGATTGAGACAAAGCCCCAATGAGGAAATTGTACGGCGCGAAGCAACGGGCTACTGTTACCTCAGGGTGCCCAAATGTCAAGCTGATTGCCAGAACGAGCGTCTCATCAAGGGCTACTTGGACCCCAGCAACGAAACAACAAGGTACCGCGTGCCCTTCAAGCGACGTCCTTCCCACAGCTCTGTCTGTCACGAACGGCCGTCCCACTCTGGTGATTTCAACATGTGCTCTCCAACGTTTGGGGCGATAACTCATGGCTTCTCTTCGCATAGGAAGGAGGGAAAGAACTGTTTTTTTCTGCACGGGGGAAGCCGTTGGAGAATTTGGTGTTTGTCCAAAAGCAACAGGGCCGGAGTTGCCTTTGTTGAGCTTCTTGCTCTTGAGATCGGGGGGAAAGCACCTACGAATTGTGTGTTGCTCTTTTACGGCACGGGGGCTGTGTAGGAGTGTGTCGGGGTAAGCAAGGGCCCCCATCTGATTTTCGTCCGACTGATGCCATTGTAATGCCAGGTTCGAATGGCAGCAACTGCGGTGAGTTGTCATGTTTTTGAGGCGACTTACATGGTCAAGATCAGGTACCTAGTGGAGTCTGTTTTCCATTAACGTCAGATGTTTCTGTGTATGTTCACAAGTTTTGTTGTTGATTTGCCATCAGCATCTCGAGCTGCGCAGGATGCTCAGATCGGTGCGCCGCCTGGGCTTGCGCTCCCTGCGGTCGGTGGCTGGCCATGCCACCAGACGGCAATCGTACAGGTCACGCTATCCCTTGCTTTTCCTGAGCCCGTTTCACTCCAAAGGCACTTTTTGCACTCTTGCCAACAAACTAGTAGGAACAAGGGGATGAAAAAGGGGTTCCCCAAGGCGACTTCCTTGTGGGCAGACCCTTTTTCCATTTCCATGTTTGTTGGAGGATAGACTTGGGAGCTGTTTAAGGTTTCATCACCCACCAGGGCCATTTGTTGTTTGTTTGAAGGGACCCTTCCCGGACGTGTGAGAAAACAAGACCCTCTCAACACGTGAGGCGTCGGATCCTCTCCGATTTTTCCCTGCCCTGCGGCATGTGTTTGACTGTGCCTTCAGGCCAAGCCAGCCAAGACCTGAACGTTCAGGCCGTTGGCAGGGCGAGATGCATGTTTGCCAAGGAAACAGGCGCGAGCTGCAAATGAGAGCCCGAAATTACCTATGCCCCGTGCTTGAAATGTGTGTGTGTACACATACGACATGTTGTGTGCATGTGTGGGATAGATACGTGTATGTATACATGTATACGCATATAACGCAAAACCATCTGAATTTGTAATTGCACATGCATGTGTGGATGTGTGTATGCATTGTACATGTTGTGTCTATGCCCGATGCATATACACCTGCATGAATATGTGTATGTGGGTGCGTCTATGTGTGCCTGTGTACATCTGCGCATAAGCACACACATGTGTGTGTGTGTGTGTGTATGTGACGGAGTATGTGTATGAATACGTGTAAGCCACAAAATAGACATGCAACTGCGTATGCAAATATATGTCCGCGCATATCTGTAGACATCCAATATATAATATATACACACATGTGTTTTATTTGTGCATGCACATATGTATATATATATATATATTTACATACTATGCGTATACATATAAATATATGCTATCCCCCCGTCCAAAACCTATGTTTTGCAGGCAAAATGCATGCCTTATGAAATTGCCTAGTACTTTCACTTGAATTTCATAGGATGAAGTCACTCTGTCGCTTGAATATGACCAAACTAGTAAGTCTCCAATTGCAGTGGGTATCTCATGTTTTTCTGGCTGTGCAGAGCAAGGTTTCCTTGGCAAACCTGGACATCCCAGTCAATGTGCGAGGCTCCAGTGTGCGCAGCGTTTTTTTCGGCCATCCAAACTGTCAAGGGCGGCCTCCAGAGCGGCCGCGCTTGTAGCCAAGGACAGCAGCAGCAGCAGTCGACCTACAGCTTCCCTTAGGGAAGCCTGGTCGGCACAGCCCATGGCTCGGGCTCGGGGTCCCTCTTTTGGGGACGGAGAGAGTGTCCGACAGTGTGTCAGCGGACCTTTCTGAAGAAGTAGATTGAAAGGAGAAGAGAGAGAGATAGATTGAGTGTGATTGCAGTGGCAAACGAAGTTCGCGGCAGTTGGTCAAGCGGAGGCAAATTGCTGCCCCAAAAAGAAGTAGACCCCGCCAGCGTAGTCCGCCATCATCACGGGCTATAGCCCATCGTGCAGTAGTGAAAACTGTGCAGCGGTGCCGGGGCATTGTGTGCCAAAAAAACCAGTGAAGCTGCTGGTGACCGGCATCGGGCGTGCTGCCAAAAAGGCCGGTTGGCTAGATCGCCGCATCACCCCTCCGGGTTCGCCCTGGCAGCCTGCGCCGCCTCGGCCGCCCGTCTCAGGGCCCCGTCCGCCTCATCCCTCCCCCGGCTGCGCTCCCTGTCGGGGCGTTGCCCTTGCTGGTGGCCCTTCTCGCCCTTCTCTCCCTTCGCGGCAGCTTTGCCTTTGCCCTTGCCCTTGCCCTTGCCCTTCTTGCCTTTGTCCTTGCCCTTGCCTTTGCCTTTGCCAAGGCCCTTCTCCCCACCACCACGCACCCGGCGGTCCAGGAAGATCCGCATTTGGTCTCCTCCAGCACCACCTCCAGCACCCCCACCGCCATCCGGTCGCAAGTGCTTCCACACCACGTGGGCAACCTGGAGCCCAGCCAAGCCCGTGCGGAGCCGCATGAGCAGAGCTCGCTCCCCCGTCCTGTAGAAGCCCACCACCACCTCAGGGGTCAGGTGCCTCGGCAGTGTCACCACCGGTGGCGGTTCCGCCACGAGCCAGTTGGCCAGCTCGCGGGCAGCGCCCTCACCCATGGCAGCTGTGAGCGCCGCCAGCACTCCTTGCATTGCCATTGTCTCCGTGCCTGTAGGCACTATCGTCGTCAAGCGATCACCAAAGTGACCACTGATCGCCTGAAGCAAGAGGGGCGTCAGGACCTGGGGCGCTGTGTGTAGTTGGCGAGCAGCTTCAAGTTCTGTGAACCGTTCCATCAGTCCAGGCACTTGTAGAAGGACTACCCTATAGGGTTGAAGCAAGAAGTCAAGGTCACGCCTGGCGGTGTCCATGCTGACGTCGCCAACCTTCAGCAAAGCTTCCGCGGCTGCAGTGTGGTGCTACCTTTTGTGTTGGTGTTGAGCAAGGTCTGTCGGTGCTTTGTAGCAGCTGAGAGCCAGTGATGCAATGTGCGGCAACCATTCTGCTCTCAACCATGCCTGACAACTGCTCAGTGCCGCCATAGATATGAAATGCAGATTCTGCCACGCCACTCCACTTAGGGGCCAAGAGATCAATGTCCCTGAAAAAACAGGGTCCCGGGCTTGCCCTTTCATGCCGTTACCGAACAGGCCTTCAACGTGTGCGGTCAAGGCAATGACATTTGCAAGTGTGTGTTTAACATGCTTGCACTCAATGGTTTCAAGGTTCAACTCAGCTGAAACATGAAAGCTCAGACGAGACAAGTCGACGGGAGGGGACCAGGGGAACCACAACCAGAACAACCCACCTCACCAACGCACAAGGACCAGACAGGACCGACGACCGTGCGCGACCATGACGGTGCAAAGTGCAAAGGGGGAAGTGCGGGGGTGCGGCGCCAAAGGACGCTCGGGCCTGCGGAAAGCCGCTTGACGCCAGAGGACGTCGACCCAAATGGGGGGGGTGCACGGTGCGGGGTGCTGCGCCAAAGGACGCTGGGCTTTGCGGCAAGCCGCGCGGCGCCAGAGGACGTCAGCCCAAATTTGTGCAGGGGGTGCACGAAATGTGAACCACGTACGTCCAAGACGATACCACCACGCGCCAGCTACGTGCCCAGAAGAAATCCCATAGACCGAAAACAGCGACAAACCTTTTGATCGTGTGCGTGGCACATGCACCCCCATGACCCTACAAACCGCTCGATTTCCATCGACGTGCACCTGACACCCCCCCTGTTCCCAAACCTGCGTCAGCTCACTGTTTATTGCAATGGCAACTTTCCCCCGATGGATGATATTCCATTCCCCCTTTTTGGTTCGCAGTTTCTTTCTCCCACTTGCCCCAAGATTCACGTCCTGCAACAAGACCGCCTGCCATTCACGAAGTTCCCACACTTCCGCTAACTGCGCCAGTTTGATGGCTGGATCTACTGCTCCCCCGACCGCTCCCAACCTGCGCACGTTCCACGTCCCAATACGGATCCGACCCGTCATTTTACGTGTTCGGGCCTGTCGTTTACGAAACAAGCCCTGCCCAACCAACCGCTTTCGTCGTTCACGAAGTTTGCGTCGAATTGTTTGACGACTTTCTACCTGCGAGTCAGCATAAGTTCGTCCAGACAAGAGAGAAGAACCTACTGCGGCCCAGTGTGTGACGCTCGAGAGTGAGGTCCGCTTTCGTTTCATTCTGTCTCGTGTACCGGCCCTTTGAGCATGTGCGCAGCTACGTGTGCAGAACCATGGGTTGTACTCTGTTGGGGCAAAGGTTAGTCTGTTTTGCCGTACACGAAGATGACCCCCGTCATAAAGTTCGAAGAGTCGGAGCCCACCCGCCTCTTACCGGAACGGAAGCTGCGCCCTCTGCGCGCTCCTGCCGCTCGGCCAAAAAGGAAGCCACCGGGATCGACAAGCTCTCGTCCAAGCCAGCGTCCTCGGCTGCGTCTTCGGGCAGCAGCGCCGAAGAAACACAGGGCGCGGAGCGCACGCAGGAGGCCAGAAGGCACTTGAACTCGCTGAAAACCTGGCTCAGAGAGCGCCGCTGAAAGCAGAGCTTTGGGCTGGCTTCCCGGATGAACAAAATGTACAGCCGGCGCCGCCGGCATGGCAGACCGAACTCTTGGGCGTCCGTCATGAGCTTCTGCCCTGCGTAGCCGAGGGCGGCCATGGACTTCAGCAGAATGTCGCAGTTGGTCTCCGCGGAGGCGGAGACTTTGTCGTCGATCGAGTCGACGTTCTCGTAGATGAAGAGCATGGGCCAACGTAGGCCAGGAGGCCCTTGAACGTTTGCGCTGAGCCGCCCTTGCTTTCCGTCTGCTGGAAGACAAGCTTTGCTGCTTTCCAGGGTCATGGCCCCAGACGCTGGCTTCCGAAATCTCAGCCAAAGCGTTGCAACGGCGCGCAGCGCGACGTTGAGGCCTTCCAGGAAGCATGTGGCGCCTACGATGCTCCCTGGCCAGCTCATGTGGCTTGACTTGCTGCCGTCGCCCCGGCTGTTGCTTGGCCGGGACCCAGCGACTCCTTGCGGCGCTGGCCGAAGACGAGCAGCAGCAGAAGGCAAACACAAAGCACGGCTGCAGCATCAGCCCTTCGGAGCACTTCCTGCAAGACTTGGCGGGCAACGCGATGGCTTTGCCAGTTGTTCTGGCAATTTTGCAGGCCGCGCTGGCAGCGGTTTGGGTCAAGAAAACACACGAGCCTGCAGCAAAGGAGGACGCGCGGAAGGCTTTGTGCAGAAAGCCATGAGCGGCCTCTGGCTAGGTTGTAAACTCTGATTGGGGGAGGCTCCGTGGACGAAGCGCGGGTAGGGTAAGACTCAGCACGAGCGAGGGAGAAAAAAGACTTTGCCGCGCTGCTTTCTTTGAGTCGGGCTGGCTTGTTACACTGTAACTCAAAGGAAGTCAAGGTGCTGTTTAACAGCCGTTCAACAATTGTATTGTTCAGCGCTTTTAAACAATTGTCAAAACAATTTTTTTCAACAACAATCGTCAAAACAATTTTCAGCAACTTTTGAACAACTGTCAAAACAAGCGTTCTTTGCAGAAACAATTGTCAAAACAATTGTCAACAATTTTTGAACAATTGTCAAAACAATCGCTTTTTCAAAAACAATTGTTAAGACAACTTTCAACAACTTTTCAACAATTGTCAAAACAAGTGTTTTTTCAAAACAATCGTCAAAACAATTTTCAACAACTTTTGAACAATTGTCAAAACAATCGTTCTTTGCAGAAACAATTGTCAATACAATTGTCAACAACTTTTTGAACAATTGTCAAAGCAATCGTTCTTTGTAGAAGCAATTGTCAAAACAATCGTTTTCCCTCAAAACAGTTGTTAAAACAATCGCGCAGGCTGGGAAACAATTGCGACGATTTTTGGGGCCCCCCCGAATTAGCCGGCTTTCTAAAACCATTCAAAATAAGAAATGTCCAGTTGTTCTGTTCAACCGACCTCTTTACCAGATGTGTCCATATCACTTTTTGGGGATAGGGAAGATTGGCGAGGAGAGCTTTTCGATATGCACTAGTTGCAACCCGCGCGTTTGCTGCTCTCCAAGGCAGACAGTAGAAACATGAAGAAAATACATATTTTGCTTAGGTGAGGAGCAGCGAAGGGAGTTGCTCCTGCAGACGCTGCAGATGGCCCCGACCTTGGGAGAACAGGCGACGAGCAATCTTTCTTCCATTTCAGTAAGGCTTGGGCTGTCTTTTGCATGATCTGGGTTTTGTCTTGGATTCTTGCATTCTTGCATTCTTTCCAGATTTCGGATTCAATGCAGAGCTGGACTCTGGACCCCAGCAAGCGCAGAGGGCATATATTTTTTTTGCGGCCTGCGGCACGGCCATTTGAGGCTGCCGAAGCAGTGATCCAGAGCAAGGCCGAGGCGCACTTGGATTCGGAAGCTCGGCTTTGGCCGATTGAGTCTTGCTCGACCTCGGTCAGAACGCGACAGGGCAGCCGTGTGGAAAAGTTGGACTGCATGGCTTTGGTCAGATTGGGCTGACCTTAGATTTGGCACAACTTATGTAAGAGTAACCCAGGCGTGACGCGGGTAGGTCTTCGGGGATAAGCATTCTGGCGGTTCCAAACTACCGGAAGGTAGTGCAGGAAGTCGATTCACAGTATCCTTATGCAGCTACGTTCTGTGCTCTAGCCGGTAACTTCTCTTGGCATCTACACTCTTTCAGCATCAGCGGCCCAGCAAAGGGGTCATGATAAAGGAGAAGCAGAGTCCACAAGCGGAGTTTCATGAGTTTTGTTACCAGATTCCGCAGCGAAGCCGAGCTCGCTCCCTGAGCGCCAATGAATCGAAATGAGTAGTGAGCATTATGCAACGCGGAGCCGGCGAGGCCGGTAGGCAGAAGTTTCAATCATATGATAGTTGTGTATATAGTCTGTATTGTTCCCCAACAGCTCAAAGCTTTGGGGTCTCAGCCCAGATAGGCTCTGGGGTGGTCCGGGGCGGCCCTGTTCCACGAGGGTTCCACCAGGGTTCCACCAGGGTTCGACAAGGGTTCCACGAGGTTCCGCGAGGGCTGCGGGGTGGCGCGAGCACTAAGAAAGCACCGCATACTGTTGGGGACATCACCTGAGCTTATTTTCTATCTTTTTCGTTTCTTTTCTTTCTATCTATCTATCTTTCTTTATTTATTTATTTCCTTCTTTGTTTCTTTCTTTCTTTCTTTTTTGTTTCCTTCCATCCTTCCTTCTTTCGTTCTTTCTTTCTTTCTTTCTTTCTTTCTTTCTTTCTTTCTTTCTTTCTTTTCCGTCCTTGCTTCCTATTATCGATAACTATCTATCCATTTATCGATAACTATTCATCTATCTATCTATTTACCTACCTATCTATCTATCTATCTATCTGTTTATCTATTTATCTATGTATCTTGCTATCTATCCACCTGACCTCGCGAACATGCTGCGCCTGCCACGAAATCCATACCTGACTTGGCGAAAGTCCTGCTCCTGCCAAGCAAGCGAATTTTGCAAAAGGTGCGCGCGCCCGTGCCGATGGGCCCGGCTCCGAGAGGTCTCCGGACATGTTCCGAGCGTCCGACCAGGTATCGCGTTCAGGCTAACTTTCGACTACCCCAAAACGCTCGCTCTCATTTTTTCGCACGTGCTGAGTCTTCTCTTGTCATCTGTCAGAGAGCTAGCTTTCAATGAGTTGCCGCACCACGGAAGTTCTTCTAAACTTTCTTTGGCTATCCACTGTTCGTGCAGGCAGAGCAGCACCTGGTCGGTGCCGTGGCAAATGTGGAGGCCGAAGGGTGCGAGCCGTTCTTTGGATCTTTGCGGGCGCAGCGGCTGCAAGTGGATCAATTGAGTTTGGCGATGTTTGTACACGGCCTGAGAAACTTTTGATCTTTGATGGACTGTCTCTTGTGAAGACGCCATCACACTGCCAGACATGTGGGGCGTATCTGCAACTCTCTCACCATCATTCCTTTGTCGGCACCCTGAAGGAACACCGAGCTTGCCAAAGTCCGCGCCCGCCCGTGTCGTTTGCTTGCCCGGGTCGGGCGCTTTGTGCCAGACGTGCGCAGAGCTCTGCTTGCCGGGTGGCAGGCGGGGCGACAGGCAGCGGAGCTGGTGCGGACCCTTCTCGACCTGGGATGAATGTTTTTTTTCCTGGTGGCCACCTTTCACTTGTCAGAGATGCAGGAAATGGAAACAGACCAAGCGAGAAGGGGGCGAATGTAAATGTGTGAATTTGTAACTTGAAGTTCTCGGCAAATAAACAGGCCTGACGAGAGGGACGAGGGAAGATACACCTGGCATGATTTGAGACTCTGACTTTAACCTTCTCAAATATATGTTTGTCACTTAGCTAATCGGAGGCACTCATCTAGCTTCCAGCCGTTGACGGAACATGCGAGGCAGACACAACCTTTCTGTGCACGAGCTGCTTCTTTGAATCTGGCGACTGGCCCTAATCTGTGCTCTCGCCTCAGCAAAACCAAGCCGAGCCTTTCCTCAACTGGGTGTTTCTCAAGATACCGCTCTAAAAGGGCTTGGTTCCTCTTTTACCGTTGGATACCACAAAAATGGAGCACCTGAACTGAGTGGCTGGCCAGGCTGCTGTCGGGCTTGGCATCCAAGCTGTGGAGCGGACGGCCTGATGATGCTGCACTGTCGGCATGTCTTGCGACTGACAGCTGAGAGAGCTGAGGCTCCACCCCAATCCACCCCGCTGCTATTCATGACGGGGCAAGTGTCACGGTTGTTGGCCAATTTGATCAAAGATGGAGGCGCTGCGCTTAAAGCAGTGCTGTGGCTAGTTTGGCTTCCATGACAAGGGGAACTGAGCTTCTTTTCTTAGTTGCATTGGATTTGTGAACCTCTCGCCATTCGATCTACTAGTTTGGTGACAAGCCTCACGCTTTGGCGAGCTTTCGGCGGCATTGAAAGAAAACCAAAGCCACGGGGGCTGTGCCTGGGGATGCAAAAAAAAACACGAGGCCCGAACTGAGGGAGCTCATGTGTTCTATGTGTTCTACGCTTAGAACGGGCGCCAGCATGCTTTCTGCCAGGCCAACTGGGCGAGCAGAGCCGCCACGGGGCTGCAGCCAGTGAGAGCATGAGGGCTGGTGAACATTGGTCAGAATGGGGTCAAACCATGTGGCGCATGATTACATGGACATGTTTAAACAGATGCTCAAACATCGTAAGCAGTGGACGTACTTGGAGATTGCTTCAACAGAGTTTGGTGGATTGGCCAACGAGTGCATAGGAGGACAGTCGCAATTTCAATTGGCTGGCGTTACTTGAGACACTCATTCTGAGAATACCTCTTTTGACCGTGCTCTCAGGCACAGATGATGTCCAAGAGCAACGAGGCAGGCGGCTGAATGAAATTCAGAGGAGATGTCCCCAGGCGGTTTTGGTGCAAGCAGTTGTCATATCGTTTCATGACAATTTCGACGCAGCAGACTGTTGCTCCGGTAGGGGGGGTAGTTGGTAGTACGACGCGCAGCATCCCCCACCAGCATAAACATGGCCATCCAGCTTGGACTCAGCAGGATTTTCTGGGAGTTTGATGGAGGGAAAGGCCGCCTTGGCCATGGCCCAAATCCCACCAGGCGGGAGATGAGGCCGCTGACTGCTGGTTTGATGCAGGCCGGGTCGCGCGTGACGCGCGTGGCGTTGGGAGTGGACCCTGTGGACGGTTTTGTCTTGGATTCCTCTAAAAGCCATCCATCAAGGGGGTTCCCCAAAGTCTTCGGTCAAGACATGCCAGAAGGGAGGCCTGAATTGTTGTGAGGCGTTTCGGCTGAATCCTATGCTTTGGGGGTACTAATCCCAAGGGCAGGCTCTTGGATGAAAGGTCTCTGGGTGTGCACTGCGGGCATCAGGCTTGCGGTTTTCCTCGAGCGGCTTCGGAGTTGGGGAATTGGGAGGAGAAGCGTTTTCCAGCCTCCACGTACGCACGCACGCACATACACAAAAAACAGAAGCAACGGGTTGGTCTCGTGGAGCAAGTGAGAGAAATCCACTCGTGAAGACTTGACCTTCTTTCAATGTGCAAAGCACTGGCTGCACCGTTTGTGGTGTGACCCCTATCGCGCAGCCAGGTTAATGGGCTCCCAAATCCAGATCCGAGTGGCCTCTTGAGCGGAGCCCCATTCATTTGTAGGAAGCGATGTGCCCCAAGCATGTACTGTTGCGGCACGTACCCCAGTGGCCCGTACCAGTTTCAATTGAACTTGCCGGCTTGACACGCCAAATGTGACCTTAGGTCAGTTGGATTGGCGAATCCATTGTTCGGTTCCATCTGAAAGCGAGGCCAAAGAAAGTGGTGTGGTTCCTTGAGCCTGCTGGTGCTTGGGGAATGAGTCAATGAACCTGACATTTCCCATGATGAAAGAAACCAAATTGGAGATGGTTGATTGATCTCGGGGTCATTCCATTTCCCATTCCCTGCATCTCTCGCACCAGCGTGTGGCTGTGGGTCAAACTTAGGGTAACCCCTAAATGGCTTGCCCTGGCAAATGGACACATGGACTACCTGCGGTCCAATTCCTGGTTTTATTTTGGCCCATGTAAGGTCACCTATTGTATGGTCGCACCTGGTTGTTTTCCCTTAAAGGAAACCATAAAACATGGATAAACGTGGTTTATAGGGGTTGTCTCCCTCATTTCTGTTTTTTTTGAAGGAACCCATAAAACATGGAAACATGGGTTTATAGGGATCGTTCCATTTCTCCTTCCCCGCCTACTGAGCAACCCTCGTAGGGTCACCCACCTCGTCTCAGGCCGGCGTTTCCGGCAGCTGGGGAAGCTGCCGGAGGCGCAGCGCTGCGCCCGCGAGGCGCGAGAGAGAGGGAGATCCGTCAGGCCGGCGGCTTATGTTTTTATGGTGTCGGTCGTTTTTTGGGGTGTCCCCCCCAGAAAATGCAGGGTGCCTCTATCCTGCGATTTATGTGGGGGTGTCCATCCCCCGCAAAAAAACTTTTGGGCTTCGATTTCCTTTTGGTTTCCATTTAAAAGCAACACAAAATGCAGGGTGCCTCTATACTGTGATCTCTCGGTGCCGTAAAACAAGTGCAGCAATCGTACTTTAGTACATTTTGCAAGGCCTGGTTCAAAGCCAGCCACAACCGCCTCAACCGCAAACAACAAACTCAACAAGCTCAACAAGCCGCTGGCTCCAAAGCAGAAGAGTCCTCAACCTTTGAAGCCTCAAGCGCCAACATCCGCAAACAAGTCCTCAACTTAAGAGCACAGCCTTCCTCCTTGACAAAACTTTTTGCTTTTTTCCCCGGGTCTTCCCATGGTTGTTGTTGGGACACATTTTACATTTTTGCTTATTGTGGTTTAGTGGTTGAAATCCAAATCCACTGAACTGCTAAATCTAAGTTTTTGTTTAGTGGAAAATCCCCACGGAACTGCTAAAATTTCAATTTTTTGCTTCCCTTCCAACGTCAAACAGGTCTTCCGGCCACGTCTCCGGCCTCGGGTCGTTCGGGTCTCGCAGGCGAAAGGGCACGTGGAGGCGCAGCTGCTGCTGCTGGAGCTGGCCTGCGAGGCGAGGCGAAGAAGTGGGAGCCATGGGCCCGTGGCTCGTCTTGGGGGAGCTCCCCTCTTTTTGGGGCGTGTCGTGTCTGTTTCAGGCTATCCTTTCTTTCGTTCTTTGGGGCGCTGTGTGTTCTTTTTTGGTTGTTGCATTGGATTCAGGGTTTTCATCTTCCTTCCCCATTCATCGCTTTCCTTTATGTGAATGGCCAAGCCTCTATTCCGATCGAAGAGCCTAGGAAAAGGAAGCTGGGCATTGGAACGGAGCGAATGGATCCTTGTGACCCAATTGCCGATTAGCTACAGTGGCCAAATGGTAAAAGGATCAAATGAAAGAGTCAGGCTTTCCATCTACTCTCTATACCAGCTCTAACAGATGGACAAGAATAAGATCTTAGTCCCTGTCCATCCCTTACTGAGCTTGTAATTTCAGAATGGACAATATGATTGCATCTCTCGGAGTCTTTCATAGTTGCGAGAGGGACGAGTGAGGGCCACCACTTCCCTGACTAACCATGACCGGCGAATAGACAAGTTGAGGGATGGCATATCTCTTTTCATCGTCCCCATTTGGTCTCTCTGGTGTATGAAAGGAAAAGGAAAGGTCACCCACTATCCCAGACATGAGGTGAGCCGCTCTGTCCATTCGCTAGCTCATTTTCCAGTGATTAATCCAAAGGACACCACCTTATTTTGGGTGTTTCCCAATTTTAAGACAAGCCCCCACAGCCAAAGGGGTTGCGGGGGGACCCTGCCAACTCGGTCCTTCAACCAAAAAAAACCGCCAAATACAATTTTCGATCCAGATTAGACCAACCACCATTGTGCTTATAAACTAATATGTAGAGGCGGGCCTGGGCTGAAGGCATCGGAGGTAGCGTATTATTCCTATTGAATCCACTGGTTCAAGTTGTTTAAGGTTTGGCTCTGGCGAGGCCCGGCCCGCTAGTATAACGCCGGTTTAAAATCCGGGGGTGCATGTTTGGGCTTCAATGGCAGCGCCATGCCAGGCGGGAAAAGACTGCGCAGAGGCGAGTGTGGGCTTCAGCCACTGGACCAAGGATGGAAGGATGAACATGTCCGTTCCAAGCGGAAGAGACGCCTTTGGCAGGGCCCCCGTTTTCTTCACTGGTGTTGTTGGCTTCTGAGAGTTGGTTGCAAGTTTCCCACTTTTTCACAGCTAGCCTTGAAGAGCTGGTTGCACAAGTGAGGGTAGAGACTTCCTTGAGGCAAGGGAATGCAACATGTCCGATATCTTCTTGCCAACATAAATTCCCGGGCTGGTAGGTGAAGCAATTGCCGTGCCAGAGTGCTCTCTTCTTGCAGAGTCTGCCGTTGTATTCTAAGCCTACCATCCAAAAAGCGCTTTGCGATGCTTGTCACGCCAGGCAACTTTGTTTTCTATGTAGAAACTGTAAGGCCTTGCGGCTCAAACACTCGAAGCAGCAAGTTGCAGTCCAGCTTGGCAAAGGGAGCCGCATGTTTGTGGAGGTTTTTTGTTTACAAGGAACCAACAACAAATGCAATTCTTTGGGAGGGTCGCTAAGTTCGACATGGACCGTCCCGTTGAAAGTGCTGGAACTGGACCCGCAGCCTGCAAGCCCGCCAGGGCTGGACTTGCATGGAGCAACTCCGCCAGATGGATCTGACGTAGCCGCACTCAGTTGGCACCGCACGGAAAGGGTGTGAATGAGAGGGACCCATCAGAGGTGGGGAATTGTCGAAAATCCGGCGTTGGAGCTGCCTGCATCTCTGCGCAGGGTCCTCTCAAGCCCGCTTGTTGGGAAAGAGACGCCTCCCTAAAAGTGTAGGGTCTCTCCAAGGTTGACCCCATATCAACCCTGTTCTTTTTGGGTTTCGTTGTGAAAGTCAGCCCACTTTTGGAGGGCCCCCCTATCGATTCAAAGGGGTCAACATGGCGGCCACCGACCCCTTCCCTCGGTGAGGTTGGCTCAGGCGTCCCGGGCCGCGCAGGCCGCCCGGCAACAGCCCCACGAGGACGTTGGACGGCCGGACGTACGGTAAGGGCGAAGGCTCACATGGGCGTGGGTCAACATTGAACCAGACCGCAGATTTCAGTCATTGTTTCCATGTACTAGGGTTCCATTTTGGGTACCTATACTTTTGACCCACATCCACATGGTTTTCATTTCAGCCCGGGAGGGTTCAGTACTTGTCGCTTAAAAACAATAGAGATCAGGTTTTTGTTTTGTCTTTGGTTCCATTTACCAGGGTGCTATGTCTCTTGGCTTCTTGGGCAAATGCAAGTGTTGGTGGCTGGGATGGACGAAGCGGAGTTGAGGGTGAGGTAGGTCACTTCGGTGCCAGATCAATCCGGCGCTTGTGGTACGCATTTTGGATCATGCAGCAATTATCAGCGCAATGCTTCCTCTTGCGATCCAGCCTATTGCGACATGACACATGTTTTGCTGGATTTGTCACTCAAGCCAAGAGCAAATGACTGAAGATCTATGAGTCAACTATTAGGCCAACTCAACTTGAGGACACTCACTCCCTCCATTTCCCAGGATCGAGCCGAAGGCCGAAGGTTTCCAGCCGAGCCGCGAGGACTTGGCCCTGGCAGCGCTGGAGCTGTTTGTGGCCGCCAGCGAGAGCCAGGCGCACCCCGCGTTGCGGAGGTCTGAAGGTTCTTGCGCTGAGGGGTGAGGGGCGTGTGAGAGATATTCCACAGTGAGGCACTCACCATGGTCGTGTGCACTTCTGGGGATTGGGGGGTTCGGTTGGGGTCGGTTGGGGAAGGGGGGTCACTCTAGGGATGCCTGATTTTTTCACGGCGAGGGCGGAACCGCGCAACTCCCAGACCTTGGAAGCGACCGAGTCCAGGCGGATCTCACGAGCCTCGCCGTGGCGGCGCATTTGGTGAAGAGGCACACGGAGCTGCAGCGGCCCACGGAGGCGCGTCGGAGTGACCAAATTTTGGAGAGCAAAGGGCGCTCCATGAGTTCAGTGGGTATGTGGCTACTTGCGTGGTATGTGATGTGAAGCCAGGGACCTCGCAATGCCCACTGTCCGGGTTTGCACACACAACAACCACAACAAGTCCTCAAGTCCCAAAGTGCTTTGGACCGCGTTGCGGACGCACGCGCCCCAAGTGCCCAAGTCACGCTCCAGGAGCTGCTGCAGACTTTGGCGGCCGCCCGGCGCCTGGGCGCCCAGTGCCGCCGCGGTTTGGCGGCGGAGCTCAGCTCCGCGGGGCTGGCGGAGCCGGAGCCGCGGCCGGGGCTGGCGGCGCTGCGGCAGCTGGTGGCCTGCGCCTGGGGCGGGGGTCCCGGAGGGCAGCTGGGACCTTGCGGTTTTTTATTCCATGGGCGAGCGCGGCGTGTTTTTTTTTTTGCTTTTATGGGCACTTAGGATCATCATTTGAGTTCTTTTCTTCGGGATGTTGAAAAGCAGGTAGAGTATGAGCCAAGTGGTATTCATTTGGACAATCATGTCTGCAGCTCTGGTATGTTAAGCTCATGCTGGCGCCAAAGTGAGAGTGCTAAACTCGGCATGTCCGCAGTGCTTTTGCAGTTGTATGGTGTGTTCACAGCCGAGACACGGACACCAAGACTGGCAACGGCTCCTCTTTCTCAGGTCCGTTGAGTCATTGCACGAGGGATGGGGGGGAGATGTCGGTGATTTTAGGGTTGCCAGTTATCTAAGATATCACTGCATGGCTTTGTCTTTGTTTTGCTTCTTGATTTGATTTGAGCACGTTTGGCTCTGTTGGTTCTGACCAGCTTGGTCAGGTTTGGCTGGCTCCGTCGGCTTGAATTGATTGCAGCAAAAAGTCAATGTTTCGACGCATCCTTCAGAAATGCTGGATTGTTTTGCTGCCGAAGGCCTTGTATACCCGGAAAACCGCCGTACGCCATTTTGCACATGTTTGTGCCTGGAAAAGAGGAAGTCCATTTGGGCGAGGGCTGAAGCAGACAGTTGACGAAACTCGCCATTTTCTCCGAGCATGCTGCATGCGCGCGTCGAAGGGAGTAGGGTGGAAGGGAGTAGACGTGATCACTTTGGTTCTTTCCTCATTCGCAACGTGTGGAAAAGGTCCCCTTCCTCATACATTTCTCCCCTGGTGGGAAGGTGGAGGGGGGCCAAGAATTCCTTGTTTGTCGTTTGTTTGTTTCTTTTTTTGTTTGAAACTCAGGGGAATCCCCAAGATAAGGGCCAACATGTTGTGTTTGTTGTGTTTTTTGTTTTTGTTTTTCCCCTTGGGGATTTTTGTTTTTTCGACCCTCGGCCGAGCGAAAAAAAAACAAGGAATCGCTCTCGAGGTCGGGGGGAAGAGCTGGGCCGAAACCTCCAGTGGCAGCAGGCGGCGGCCATGCGGGAGGCCCAGAGGATAGCTTCGGCCCGGCGAAGTTGCCAGGTAGCCCTGGGTTGGGCGAGTTTTGGATGAGTGGTTTGGAGATTTGGGCATGGTTGCCAAAATTACACCAGGAGACCGCAGGTTTTTGGTCCATGTTTCCATTTTTCAGGATTCCATTTTGGGTACATATTTTTGACCCACAGCCATTTGAACTTGTGGAGGGTTGGTGGTTCAGATGAGTGGTTTGGAGATTTGAACTTGTGGAGGGCAAGTAGGAAACCGCCGTCCTCTAAACCACCGGTCGCCCTGAATTAGAAGAAACCCCGACATTGGAGGAAAGGATGGTTGAAATGTTGCGCCAGGGGCTTTCAAAAGCGACATCCTTGGTAGCATTTTTTTTAACACCGGGGGACGACCTCCGCTGATCTCGAGGGAGACGAAGATGTTTGCCCTGCGAGCTGATGGACGCCCGGCTGAGGTTCGAGGCGGGGCACCAGGTCCTGGAAGTCATCGACATGGACAGCCAGGGCCTGGACCCCGCGAGGCGCGCTTTTGTGGGGGGGGGGGGGGGTGATGGAAGGAAGGGCCAGCCGCGTCTCAGCTCCCCCCGGGCTTTACAATGCACGAACTAGCATGTTTGCAGCCATAAACTAAGGGAATCACGGGAGACTAAGATAGGCTACCTCCTCGTCTCGACTTGATTTTTGGTTTGGTCATCCCTGGGAAGACCAAGCTCCATCGCCGGTGGCAAGGCACCATTCCAGTGCACGGATTTAGCCCTCACTGTGTGCCTGCAGCATGAAATTGCTCTTGTTCCTGCTTGACCGCCGGATCGCAAAGCAAACTGAATGCACTAGTTCACTAGATGCTTTCCAAATGTTGGGCTGTGCTGAGGGGTGGAGGAACACATGTTCCAAGCGAAGCATCCGAAACATAGGACTCAACTTCAACGCTGGTGGCTGTGAATGGTGTCAAGAGCCGAAGATAACTCAGCTGCAAGTAAAACTGTTGGAACTCCCTCTAGCACAGCGTTCCATACCTGGCTGTGCAGCCCATGTGCATTTTGAGAACCTTTGTTAGGTTGTGTCTTTCTTTTACGCTCCTATGTAGAGTTGTGCCAGATTGCATTCCTTTCAACATGGGCGTTGGTTCACCATTTCCAGGATTTGCGAATATGCAGCAGGGCAGTCCATGGATTTATCCTCCCTCTGCTGAATCAGGGAGGTCCTTTGTTAACCGTCGTAGAACACCGTTTCCACGAACATAGGTTTGACTTTGGAGGTCCGCCAAGTCGAAGGTGTTGTCGAATGCAGTTGGAGAAGCAAAGCCAGGCTCCGGGAGTTCGTGGATGCGCGAGCTTGGTGCATGATTCAGGATGCCGCGGCGAGAGTGGAGCAGGCAATGGGCGGTTTCCCGGTGTCGCGTAACAGAACATTTCGCTTGCTCGAAGACTTCATGTCCAAACAATCGGGGCTTGTTGGATAGGTTTGAACGAGAAGCGAAAGGGCACACGCCACTTGGATATAGATTTGTCCTAAATTTGGAGATGCACCCTTGTATCAAGAACAGAGCAGCTGGACGACCCTCTGGTTCACCTAATCTTGAGTAATTTGCTCAGTTCCCATGCCGAGTTTGGCCCATGAACGTTTTGAGAGAAGGAGAAGCTTTCTGTCGCAGAGAGCTGAGACCAGGCGTCACATGTTCGCAGGCGAAGGATCGCGCCGGCGGTCAGCTCAAAGAGGCGCTGGAGTTGCTGGAGAAAGCACACAGGCTGGGACCCCATCTCCTTCGTCCAATGTTAAACCAATTCCGGGTGCCCGATATTCTCAGCGCGACTGGAGCAATGGAGGCTCACAGCTTTGCCCGAACTTCGTTTCGGACATCTCTGCGCTGGCCGGTTCTGGTTGTGGCCTTTGTGCTTGTCGCAGATAGATAGCATGAGCGGTGGACTTGTTGCGTTGCTGCGTCAATGCCTTGTTCAAAGCGGCACATTCCTAGGCCGCCCCCTCTCCGTTTCTCCCATCTTACCCGCTTCGTTTCTCCCATTTTGGGTGCCGGGCCTCCCATTGCGCGAGGCTCTGCAAGCAGTCTCGGCAGCTTCAGTCGCAGGGCGCATTTGCCGAGGTGCCGAGTGGGGGATCACTTGGGAACGTGGGAAACAGGCCACAGGCCAAACCGTCGGGCAGGGCGGTCCATTTGCGTTGGGTAGCAAAAGGGATTTGAACAGACCTCTGCAGGAGAAACTCCGAGCCTGGATTTTTCGCACGCCTTGGTGGATATCTCACGGTCAAGCCATACAAATGATTGTGTGGGCCTTATGTCCGAGGTGAATCCCGCCTAGTTTTGGCACACGTGCTAGGCTCGTTTTTGAACGAGGGACGGCGCTCATTTTGAACATACGCTTGATCTTGGCAGCTGACACGACGCTTGACACATGACACGCGAGCCTGACCAAAACTGACGCTCTAAACCCTAAATCACAAAGCGCGAGCCAAGCCTTTAAAAGGGTTGACCCTGCTGGAACATTTAACGGCAAGCCATGATGTCCTAAACCAAAGCCTCAACCCAAACCGCCTTGACCCGAACTCCGAAACCCGAGGCCAATGAGTCCAGTGTATGCCTGAAAGCGAGCCACTGGTGTTTGACATTGGTCCCCCACATTGAACCGGGGAGTGCTCTTAGGAGATGCTTAGCCCAGACTCTTGCGTTGGTTCCTGTGCTTATAGGGCAAATTACAGTGCCCCTCCAAGTCATCCTCCATCAGGTTTCAACAACAACTCCCCTCCAAACTTGATTTGAGAACCATCCCAAAACGGTTCAACAACAACTCCCCTCTAAGCTTGATTTGAGAACCATCAACAAAAAGACAAACACACACAGAACAAACCACGACCACTTTGATGTCTTTGGTATCCGGTACCGCAACTTCACATCCCTCCAAGCCCGGGGTCACCGTGCGGCGTTTTCAGGCGCCCTGCTCGAGCTCCACGTGGTGCCACCGCCGCTTTTTGACGCTCGTGCTGCAGGAGTTCGAGGTCCGATGCCTCATTGGCGCCGCTCGGACCCCAAGTTCAGCGCACCTTTTGGTGGATCAAAAACTCAAAAGGCGGGATCCGAATGCATAGTGGTACATGTGTGTGGCTCGCAACTTACAGGCATGGAAACGCGAATCTTCAGAGCCTAGCAGGAAGCCATGGGAAGGCATTTGGCTGAAATCGTCCTTGGTGCGGCAATTCAAATTGCCGGGGTGCGCTGGGAATCCCCGTTTTGCCTTGGTATGAGACGGAGTGCCCCCGTATGTCCAAGCCTGGCAAAATCCAGAGGCCCTATTCTCAGTTTCAAGAAGCACCAAGCAAGCACTCCGTGGTACTCTTTTCAAGCGCAAGCACTTCTTTTCAGACCTGGAGAAGCCTACGGGGCTCTTTTTTGTGGGCAGTTTCAACCACCAGCCAACCCCAAAATACTCGCGTTCCTGGATGCGACCATTTTTGGGATGCAGTGAGATGAGGTGGGGCGGGGTGGGGTGGGGTGAAGTGAAGATAAATGGGGGAAGCCCTTTGGAGGGCCCTGCTTTGAGACGCCTCAACGCACATGGGTCAGGAGCCCGAGCAACAGCTGCGGCGCTTCGTGGACACGGCGCCCCGACCGCATTTTTTTTCTTCTTTTTCGGCGCTCCCTTGTTTTCACCCAGGGATTTTCTTGGTTTGACTGGGCTTTTCTTGTGGGGTTGACTGCTTTTGTCTTTGTGGAGTTGCTTTTTCTTTCTTTGTGTGTGTGTGATTTTCACTTTGTAATGGGCCTTGATATGTGCCGATGCTGCGATTTTCTTGTGGTGGTGCTGATGCACACGGCATACGATGGATCCGTGCGTGATGCTTACTCGCACCTGCAAAGGGGTCTTGTCATTTTTCTCAGACATGTCTTGCGCGATCACACGGGAAATGCTCGGAAGCTTTTGAATGGCGCTTCCATGGGACCATAGAGCTTCTCCCCTGATTGGTTTTTGGCCCCCCCAAAATCGCCATTTTTAGAGGAAGCTCCTTGTGGTGGAGCCCTTGCTTGGGGTTTCATGCTCACTTGTCCGGTGAAGGCTTCCGCGGAGTCGGAGCTGGGCGTGAAGAGTCTGCTGGCGCCGCTCGGCGTTTGTGGAAGGAACAGACAGAGAGTCGCGTTGATTGAGATGCTTGGTCGTGTTGGTTTTGGTTTAGTTTTTGTGGTTTGGGTTGAGTTGGGTGTTGGTTGAAGTATGGATGACTTGCAGGAAGGTTTGGTTTCTTTTCGGGTTTGGGTTGAATTGAGTGGCTGGCTTGGTGCTGAAGCATGTGGACTTTGCTGAAAGGAGTGGTGTCTGAACAGGCCGGGAGCTTCAAAGGAGAGACATGGCCATTGGGTACGAGCCTACTATTTGCTGCCGCATCGCGTCGCTGACAACCAAAAGTGACATGGGGGAATTCGCTCGCCGAATTCCCAGAAGTGGGTGCTTGTCACCCCATAGGAAGCAATTTCCAAGTTCAGCACGGCTTGTATCCCAACAGTACTAGCACTTTGGGCATAGGAGGACTTCCAGTTGCGATGGTGACACTTGCAGGTACTGCGTTGCTCAGATCCAGGGGTGGAAGCAGTGTCTTTTGGTCTGGCAGATCTGTTTGCCATTCCAATTCGCAATTTCTTTCCTTTGTGGACGCCACCACAGCAAACGACTTGACGTTCAGAAGGAAAAGACGATCAAGCGTGGGCTGTGCCGAAACTTCTTTGAGTTCCCTTTGAGTTCCTTTTTCAGTTGCTTTGGGATGCGCCTCGAGGGATGAATGTCTTCCATCAAGTGTGTGCTTGTTATTGTTTGAGGCTACCCTTCCAAAGGTTGGTTTACAGTAAACAAAATCACCGGGATCGTTTCGGAACTCCATTTCGTCGCGTCCCCAGGCTGTTTTGGGGTTACATCCGCCCTAGGATGTCGAAGCTCGCCGCTTCAGCGTCTTGCAGAAGGCCTCTGCGCGAGAAGGGCCTCTCGAAGAATCGGATGGGTCTGCCTTTTTTTGGGTTCCCTTTTTCTGGCGGTCGTAGGAACTATTTATAGGGACGAAAACCAACTTTGAGGTGCCCCTTTTTTTTAAGACAAGCCCTGGACAGTTGCTGAACCTCAACTCAGGGGATTGTCAATTCACTCAAGCACTGACGAGCTTTTGGGCTCGGGGAGCGGTATGGCTTCATGAGCGTCTCATCAAAGTCAATGCACTGTTACTCCATGTCTTGCTTTTTGACTGCTTGGCCCGGTTCCAGCTGTCCTCGTCAGGCAATGTGTCAAGGTTTGTTGTGCGATTGGCATCTTGTGTGTGTGTGTGTGTGTGTGCTATTGATCGCTCCAGATGATGGGCATCCCTGCTGTTACCAGCACGGCAGCCACCTTTTCCTAAACGGTTTGAACATGGAAGGCTCGCTTGCCCAAGGGTCCATGACTCAATCACCCCGGGCTTAGTTGCCTGCAAATGATCTCGAAGGCCTTTGCCAGGCTTGCCATCCACTGCCTCCAGCGCTACCTCAAGACCTTCATCGGTGCTTCGGACGCTGGGGCCTGAGCTGATCGCCGTGTTGGGCACGTTGATCGCTGTGCCAACGCTGAGGGTGACGTCTGGATCGAAGCTTTTCGGAGTTCGATCCAGATGCGTGTCTGTGTTTTGATTTCTTAAAGGTAACCCTCCAAGCTGGAGGTGTCCCTTACCATCAAAAATACCGGGCCGCCGCAAGAAAGGGCACCGCCAACTTGAGGAGAACGCTCGCATCCCAGGGTTTCGACTCGCTCCCACGCCCCGGAAAGTGGATCCAAAGCTCCGAGGCGGACTTCAAGGAGCTCTTGGCGGCGTATCGCCCCTTGGGCTTCGATTTTGCGCCGATTTTTGTGCGGCGCGAAAGGAGGGTGTCCGCGCCGTTTTTGTCGTTTTGGAAGCTCTATGATCAACTTTTAGGGAAATCCAAGTGACCCTTGGGGAGTTTCTCAACATAGGACAGGGCCCCGCTTGAAGCATGAATTTGAAAGGAACCCCGCCTAGAGGAATCGGTCAGTTTTGAGAATCAACATTTTTGGAAGAACAGGGGCCTTTTTTGACGCGGCTTGTTTAATTCGAACAGAGCCCTGATTTGTTGAACTGATAAACAACTTTCTGATCACGACCAGAAGTCATCGGGAGACGTACGGCCGGAACTGCCCGCGCGCCTGTGAGGTGAGATGCTGGCCCTGCAGGCCTCCAGGAATGAGAGCCTCGTGGTCTTTGACGGCGCCTCCGATTCGCCGAATCGGCGAGGGGGTTTGGGGTGGGGGGGGTGCCCTCTGGGCGCGGCTTCACCGCGCTGTGGCGCTCCGGCGGATTCGTGTTGAGTTGGGCTTTGGCGTTGGAACCATGGAACTCTTTGGAATTTGGCGAAGCGGATGCCAAGTATTTCGCACATATACACGGCTGAGCAGCGTGCTTTGAAACCAGGCAAGCAGTTCCTGAGTTGGATCCGGATCTTCCAGATGAAATCGTAACATCAGTTTACACTTACAGCAAGGAATGTCCCACCTTAACATGGGGAGCTCAAGTCAGTCTGCTGGATCTTTACTGTATCCATCTGAGCTTCATGTTGGCAGCAAGCTGAGATTGTTAATGGCTATTCCAGGTATCACATGAGCAAGGGACGGAACATGTCTAACGAGTGCCTTGTCCTAGGCATCCTGAACTTGCTGGCAGGGGTCAATGTATCAAGCGTCCGCAACTCAGCCCTGGGACTCGCGGTCCGCCCAGGGAAGCTTCACAAGGGTTGCGAATGCAACGTGCAGCCTGAAAGTTGGCCGGGTTTGCCTCCAAATGAAACGCCCGAGATGGGCGGCTGTGGCTCCAGGTTTGGGTGCAAAGACTCGAAGACAGGATGAAGCCGTCCAACGCGCCGATTCGTATCCCCTTGAAGGTACTTCTTGTGCGGGCGATGGAATCCCTGACCATTGCAATCATGCCTTGCCCAAGATTGACGATTCGTGCGGGGAATCTTTTTTTTGTGTACAAGCGGAGGGGTGTGACGAACGATCTGATTGAGCGAGCTGCCGCAAAGCTTGACCTTCGCGTAACTGTCGTCCAGCTGAGGACGCCAAGTTTCCCAAGGCAGGGCGTAGCCCGTATCTTGCGATGACCCCTCAATGCTTTGCATGCACAGCTTGTATGGGCTGCGTTCCGTTCTTCTTTGCGGCAGCTTTGATCTGGCTGTGGGTTAAAACCAATGGTACCACTTTGGGGTAGGTGAATTCACCACCCATTTTAGAGCCTATTTTAGTGGTTGGATTGAATCGGATCTTCACTTGGGGTACGGAATTTTGGATTTTGACCCATGGCCATATGTTCTGCTTGAGTTCGCATTTGCGCTCATTGTAACTTCTCCGATCTGGGCCAGGAGGAGATCAAGTGGCTGGTCGCAACCGCATGGCGGCGGCCCCAAACGCCCCCAAGATCGAGGAGTTTTGTTGAGGTTGGGGGGCGGAACACCGGAAATGCTATCTGATAATTTGTGGGTCAAGGGGGGACACATTTAGCCCCCTGACCGAAGGTTCAAAGGATCCCTCTTCATACGGGACCATCTCCTGCATCCAACAAGTTTCACCAGCTGCTGATATTGAGAGGTGAGCCCTTCGAGACAAGGAATCCTTCCGGGACTGCGCAGATCCCAATTTTTCCATCGTACCCTAAAATTGAACTATTCCTGAAGGCCCCGGGATCCCCTGAGTATGGTCTTAAGGCCGGCTTGGCCCCCCAAAAGAAAAGAGACCCAACTACGGCCTTTCCGAAACCTAAGGTTTTAAGGCCTTAAGACCTTTCAAAAGCCTTACTCTCCATCGGAGGGGTCCCTTCAAAAGGCTTGAGATTCCATTCCTGTCAACGGGATCTCAGCCCTCTTGCAAGCACTATCCAAAGTCGAGGCCATCTTGAATATTCCCTGGCCAGTAGCAAGAAAAATCTGATCAGCAGCCAGCTTAAGGGTTGATGATGGCATGCATGGTGTATGTTTTTAGGGTTACCCTTTGCAGCGTGGTGAAAAGGTCAACCAAAAGGACGACGATTATGTTTTGGGCCCACATATTTTGACCTGTACTCATGTTTTGCAGCTCCAGTACTTGCGATTTTGTTGGCCGGGTCACTCAGCTCAGGAACACAGGCACACATTTCTTTCGCTTGCAGCAGTACAGGCCAGGCCTGTGAAAATCAGTTGGACTCGCCCTGAGGGTCATGGTGCTTAACGTACGGGAGGGGAGTGCGCATCGTTTGCTCGGCACACGCAAGAACTCAATGCGCTTTGCCTCTCTTTGTAAAGGGCCAGCTGCGAGGAGTATAAGTGAGTAGCTCTTTAAAGCAGTATTCTTCAGAGAGGGAGAGGGAAGGGCTGGCCGATGTGTGCATGCGCAATTGGCGTGTCAAGCTCATAAAAGCAGACGCTGGAAACGTGGAGAGGCTGGGTTGTCACAGCCCAATTGGGATTGTTCATGTCCCTTTGTCTTGGACCAAGACAAACAACAGAAACCAGCCATCGGGTTCCCAACATATTCATTCACCCATCGATCCCGATTTGCTTGCTCCAAAATTTCATCCCGTGGTGAGTCCGAAAAACACCTCAAACAACTTCACTCGCTAGGTGGGCTGAGAAGTGGATGAGCAAGGGTATGGCCTTGGCAAAGCTCTGCCCCGGCGCCTTGGAGAATGTTGGCCGGGAAACCGCGGAGCGGCGAGCGGCTATTTGAAGCCGCTGGCCTTTTTTGGGGGTAGTCTGTGTGTGTGTGTGTGTGTGTGTGTTCGTTTTTTGTGTTTGTGTTTGTCTCTCTCTCTCTCTCTGTCTGCAAGGCATGCCACATGTGATGTCTCCACTTATGGCTGGGGGCAAAATTAACATCAGGTGCGTGGCCCAGGTCTGAAGTGAGAGTTAGACGAGGAAGCACGTCAAACCTACGGCTCCCTTGACAAACCATCCTCGTTCCTGGGCGTAGGAGGAGCAGAGAACGTCCATTGACAACGATTCATTAGGTCGTGGAGACGAGGCGCGCGTGAACAAAGAACAGCAGCTACATCACACAGAATCAAGCAGTGCTTGCAAGATTCTGAAGAGGGTCTCTGAGCTCATCATCCAGCCTGTGTTTGTTTCCCGCTCGCTCGCTCGCTCGCTGTCTCTCTCTCTCTCTCTTTGTAGTGGGGGCTCTTTCCTTTGCATTGGAATCAAGGCTGACAGCTTTTCAAGAGCGCAGTCGGGAAACACTCGCAAAACATACGCGCATGGCGCAGAGGTTCCTTCTCTTCGGAGAAGATGACTGAGGGCTATATTGCTTGCTTGAACCACTGTGCCTAGATCCACGGCCGCGATTTTGCCTGGACTTGGGCATTTCTTAGCAAAATTCTGCCGGCTCAGCCACTGCTAGCCTGAGTGGGGCGACGAACTCAGCAGTGTATTGATTGCCCCAGAAGGGGCAAGAGGTCTGTCTATCAAGCTGCTGATTTGTTCCAGGTTGCCGCCCTGTTCTTAGTGCATCTTGTCTGTCCTGAATCGGTTGCCTTCATGTGCCTTGGTGGATGCACATGAACTGGAAGTTGTCTTTGAGGGCCCGATTGGTGGGGAGATGGGAGGCTTCGTTTTTCACGTCAGGTGGTAAGGCTGTCACAAGTGGCCCTCATATTTCACCTGGGAGGTAATGCATGATGTTGCTGTCACGGCTGAAATCAAGAAGTGCTAAGTACCGCCTTCACCATCGGGCCCTCGTCACCCGTAATTCAGCTTCGGCCTGGGCGTTGGCCACGTGGCTTTTGAGTTGACTTGCTTCCAAGGAGGCAACTGAAGCCACCAGGGGGCTTCACCAGCTTGGTGAGCATGCATGACCCAGAGGGCCGAATCGGTGCCTGCCATGGCCCGTCCAACTAGGAGCCAGCAGTAACTCAGTCAGGTTTCTGGTTTTCGTTTGGCCCAATCCACGCAGATGACGTGCCGGTTGGAAGCTACAGGCCCCACTCGGACCCTCTGGGTGCGCTTTGCGCTCGGCGGATGAGAATTGACCAGAGGACACTTTTTGGTGCCGGCCTGGGGGCTGCGAATCCATTGGGCCGCACGGGCAAGTCTTGATCAGGGATTGGGTAAACTCATGAAATGGCGGATCCCATTTTGGGGTAGGTGAATTGACCACCCATTTTCGAACCGAATTTAGTGGGGATTGGGATGTTTACTGGGTGTACGGGATTTTGACCCATGGCCAAATATCTTTCAGACGACTTCCTTTGCTGAGAGTCTTGTGAACTGCTGGCTTGCCGACTAACAGCCCGGAGGTTCTGAATGTATCAGCAACTCGCTTTCTTTTTCTTCCTCTGTGTTTTTTCTCTCTCCAGGCACTGCAGGATTGTGGAGGCATCGAGGGTACCGCCAGCCGCATTCCTCGGAGAACCAAAAGATGCTTGAGCGGCAAGTGCCGCCCGCGCCTCACTTTCGAAATACGAACTTGTCAGTTTGGGTAAGGCCCTCAGATATCGATAACAAGATCCTGAAACGAGAGCCGTTTGTCAATTAGCTGCCAGCAAACATCGCACTGAGCCACTGAATTGGCAACTTTGCCCACGAGAGGGTCTTCGCCATCTCTTCGGCTCAGTGTCAGTGGATAGGGCCGATCAGAGTTGGGACGTCAGGCCCCGGGCGCTGGGTCGAAACCCTTTGGGGTTTGCAAGCATTCTCGGCCACTAACTACATGCCATGCTGAAGTGCCTTGCAACAACTCCCCACTTTCATGGAGAAGTTGCATGATGAAGGGATCTTGCGGCCAGCCGGGCTCGGAATAGGCATCCTAGCGATTTTGTTCATTTGATCAACTCTTGTGTCTGCCCACTGCACTGTTCGAAGAGTCCTCCTCCTCGCCTCCTCTTCCTTATCGTCACCGTCATCACCATCACCATCACCATCACCATCAGACAGTCACATCACCACCATCACCATCACCCTCCTTCTCGTCCTCCTCTTCCTCCTCGATGATGATAATGATGATGATGATCATCATCAGCAGCATCACCCTCCTCCTCCTCCTCCTCCTCATCATCATCATCAACATCATCCTCGCTATCATTCTCTTCATCCTCCTCCTCCTCACTATCATCCTCATGAGCGTCACATATCATCGTCAGCATGGTGCAACATTCACCTGATGAGGCTTGCCGGCATGGCGCTGTGCGGATCTCAGAGCAGTTGCGGTTGGGGAGGTCTCCAACCGCAGGATCTTCAGCCACCTTGAGTAAAGACACTGTCGCATGCTAAACCTGGCACATAGACATCCGAGCCAACCCCCGTTTCCTTTTCTGCATCGTAGTCTTGCAGCTTCCAGTCTCTGGGAGGTTTGTTCTGTCTCGAGATGACAAGCGACATCGCCTAAGCATCCTGCCAGGAGCCAGAAGGATGTGCCGGAAGCTGAGCTTCGACCTTCCAAAGCTGAAGTCAGGAGCCTCTGGGAGTTGCCCCCTTTGGGGTCCCCAAATCAGCTCAGCTTTTCGGAGCAAGGTGAAAGCGGAAGCTTGTTCGGGTTTCAGCTCCATGGATTTCATTTGTCCTTACTCGTGTTGGGACTGCAATTCCGCGCCCCGGCTTACAAGATGGTTGAGGTGGTGGTTTCACCACCGCGTTTGGATTTGTGCGTTGCTGCCAAAGTGCTAGGCCACTGCTGCTTGCAGCGGCCGCCACCGCAGCAGGACATTTGCGCGTGCGCGCTTGCGCGTGCGTGCTGTGTGTGTCGCCAAACATTGTTTGGCGCCCCTTCGGCGATGGTGTTGTCTTGTGCCGCCCAAAGGCGGGCGCCCCCCTGCAAGGTCTCAATTTCGTCAACAGCCGAGCATTGATAGATCCAACAGTTTCAAGCGTTAAGACTACCAATTTGAAGATTGCCTCGGAACCGATTGCGGTGACGTGAGGTTTTGCAGGGAATACCTCACAGGACCATCGTAGGTATCATCTTCTACCTGCCCAATGCTTCACAAGTGGCATCAGCGTTGCCTTTGGGCTGATATGTCCGGTTTTGAACAGCATCCTTCGTGGCATGACATGGATGACCATCTTTCTTTGTTTGTCAAACTAGTTGTTTTTGGATACCCTACCCATCTTTGGCGCCAAGTCAAACGAAAAAAATCGAACCGGCGAAACTGTAGGGCACCAACTGCAAGAAATCCGCATCCGCTACGCAGGCGTGGCCTGGGTGGCGCCCTCCGGCGTAGGCCCGGAGTGCTGGTGAGCAATGGAATAACTCGGAATGACCTTTACTCTTAGACTTTCCCTTCTCTTTCTCTTTCTCTTTCTCTTTCTCTTTCTCTTTCTCTTTCTCTTTCTCTTTCTCTTTCTCTTTCTCTTTCTCTTTCTCTTTCTCTTTCTCTTTCTCTTTCTCTTCTCTTCTCTTCTCTTCTCTTCTCTTCTCTTCTCCTTCTCTTTCTCTTTCTCTTTCTCTTTCTCTTTCTCTTTCTCTTTCTCTTTCTCTTTCTCTTTCTCTTTCTCTTTCTCTTTCTCTTTCTCTTTCCCTTTCCCTTTCCCTTTCCCTTTCCCTTCTCTTTCTCTTTCTCTTTCTCTTTCTCTTTCTCTTTCTCTTTCTCTTTCGCTTTCTCTTTCTCTTTCTCTTTCTCTTTCTCTTTCTCTTTCTCTTTCTCTTTCTCTTTCTCTTTCTCTTTCTCTTTCCCTTCTCTTTCTCTTTCCCTTCTCTTTCTCTTTCTCTTTCTCTTTCTCTTTCTCTTTCTCTTTCTCTTTCTCTTTCTCTTTCCCTTCTCTTTCTCTTTCCCTTTCCCTTTCTCTTTCTCTTTCTCTTTCTCTTTCTCTTTCTCTTTCTCTTTCTCTTTCTCTTTCTCTTTCTCTTTCTCTTTCTCTTTCTCTTTCTCTTTCTCTTTCTCTTTCTCTTTCTCTTTCTCTTTCTCTTTCTCTTTCTTCTTCTATTATTTTCATTCTTTCCGTTCCTTGTTCCCTCCCTCCCCTTCTCTGCTTCCTTTTCACAGACCGCTTCGTCCGTTAGGCAAGCTGCCTGTGTCGAGCCGCGCACGGGCACCCAGAACGCTCAAAGGCGTCCAAAGCGTCCCGCGGCAACCACCAGGAGAAGCAAACTCAGCAATCGAAAGAATCAGGGAACAGGAGGTCGCCACTTTTGCAGATCGCCAAAAGGACGCCAATGGAGGCGTTTGTTGACTCTAGGACGCATGGGCAATTTCCCAGACAGGTCCAATGAATCGGATATCCAAAGTGCAGCTTGCTAAGAGAACGGAAAGTGCAGCCCTGCTCCGCCAGTTTTGTGGCAGCCATGACGTTGCCTGGGCCAACCAAAATGCTTGTGAACTGTTGGGGAGTGCTAAACCAAATGCAAACGAAGAGGTCGAGCTATTTTCGTGCGCTTCTCAGTCAGGTTGCCGCGCGGTGTCCGGTTCACGCATTGCGTCGGCTGAGGCGAGCCTGGCACATCGGCAGGCCCGCGACATGTGCTTCTCTTTCAGGTCCCTTTCTCGGGCGGTGCCAGCGACGTGGGCCTACCGAAAAGTCGCAGAACAACACGGTGGCAAAGAAAAAACTCGCAAGCCGATCTTGGGGGACTTCATTGGCAAACAAACCCCACATGGACAAAAACGCAATGTGACTCCTCCGCGGCTGTTCACATCAGCTTTCACCTGGTTTCAGGAGGAGATCCATCCCGCCAGAGTTGTGTAGGGCAAGCTAAAGGACGTAAAGCAAAAGACCCTTAGCAAACAGCTTTGTTTCCGTTTCTCTTCCCCCCTTCAGGGCAATGCTTCGATGTTGGTGCCCGAAGTCCTAGTGGATGAATTTCCTCTTTCCTTAGCTGCTTTGATATGTTGAAAAAACACATTTATCATGCCAATGGAAGAGTTGCTTGGCATGGATCACAGCGGATTATTTGTTGGCGCCATGAATCGAGTCTGCACGATTTTCTTGCCAAGGAACGGAGGAACTGCAGCATTCGAAAAAGGCTAGAGCGGCCTTCAAGTCCTCTGAATCATCCCCTGACTTCATACCAGTCTCTCAAGTTTGTACATCCTCAGGGATCACGAAGCTGCTGTAGCTGAGTTAGACCCACATTTGCTCGAGTATCCGAAGGTAGCTTGAGTCTCGAGCAGATGTCTCCCCAGCAGAAAATGTTTTCATGGAGCCAACACATTGGTCGGGCAGGTAGCAACACCTAGGCAAACACGTATGCGGATAGTGGAACCATCTACTCATCAGAGGCGGTCGCAACCACGCTTCTATATTCTTGGAAGCAGTCATGATGCCGAACGCTGAGCCTCACAGGCTGGGGCTGATCCCTTTCAGATCAATGAAGCAACTGTGGACAGCAGCCAGCCCAAGCTTGCATGACAGGGACGAAGCGAGCAACGGCCGCATGGTCAGCGTCCCATGCAATGGAAGACGATGAAGCAGCTGCTGTGGACTGGGATGTAAAGTCCAAGCGCAGCGCGAACAATGCGACCTGCCCTCAGCTGCTTCGGACTTTTGCACACACACTGGTTGAGTTTGACGCTAATGTTAGTCGCTATTGCTTCAGATGACAACCAGATGGTTGTTGTCTGAATGCAGCTGCTTTGCGTGTTTTTGAATGCAAACTTGAAGTGTTTGACTCGAGCGTCTAGACACCACCCCGTGCCTTCTCGCGACTCAGGGCAGACGTCGTCCGGTGGATCGAAGCCATTGTGGGCAGTGCGAGCCTCAATGTTTTTGCCTGAGAGGTCTCATGAGGCACCTTTTTGATCCCGTCCAGCGGCTGAGTTGCACCAGTCTGCCACAAGCCCGCAATTTTTAACGCTCAGGCCAGAAAGATGAAGACGTCACCGTGGGCGAGTGGCTCAAATCAGGCGGCTGGAAGACGTGCATTCAAATGGTCACAGCCATGACGCACCAATGATCCCGGCCCCAGTCTTCGTCCCACATGCATTTGTTTCCGGGGTGTGTTTGAACGACTGTTTTGTCATTCAGCAGATTTTGGCTATCGGTATTTGCGTGTCTATGGCCTTGTAGTTGATGCGGCATCGTGAGCCATGTAGATGTGCGTGCATGTGCAGGTGCATGTGGGTTTGGGTCCGGGTCTTTTGCGTGTTTGTTTGTTTGCTCGCTTGCTCGCTCGCTCGCTTGCTTGCTTGCTTGCTTGGCCCGCACGCTTCAATAAACATTTCACTACTTCAGCGCTCTAGGTAGTGCCCAATGCGTAGCGAGGCATAAGACTGAACTCGCGGGCAACTGCAGTTGTTATCCATTTCTGGACTGTGATTTTTCAGAATAGTGGGTATGCTGGGGTCAAGGAGTCGGGACGGCTGGCGGCCAGGTGTCGTCCTGTGCAATCTGGTCAATGCAATCCGACCAGGGCTTATCAGGACGCTTGCTGGCGCCAACCCCGTTTAGTCCAAGTGTCATTTGGCTAAACCCTGCAATCGCCGTTGTGTCGGCAGAGCAGGATCCTGCAATTGCTTCAATATCTTCCTGGAAACCAAGTGTTTGCGACTCTGGGTTGCCAATACCGCATCATAGAATCAGCAGGGCGTATCAGAGCGGATCAGCCAGAAAATAGACCAATATGTTACACTTTGTGTCTTTGTTTGGAAGTGGAGCGTTCAGGTTGAAGTCAGGTTCAGTTAGACCAAAGTCCGTCCAGTTTGCATGCTCCTCTCTAAATGTGATTCCTGTGCGTAAGCTCTAGCTGAGTGCATGTTCAGCACCTGAAGTTTCAGCTGCACCCGCAGGACTGTCAACCAACAGACTGTGCCCTTCAAGCAGATGGCCGCCTGTCAGCGCTTAACGGGGTATGACTGAGTGCAGACGGGAATCCTTCCCAGGGATTTGAACCACGATGGAGCAAGGCTCATGGCCCACTTTCAGCTTTCGTGACCTCTGGATGTTTGCGGCATGAAGCAAGGCGGCTAACATTTGCACGCAGAAGCGACTGATTCGTGGGGAGTCAATCTTCAACCGCTTCAAGCGGGTTGCTTGTGTTTTTGGTTCCCTTTGAAGCCATCGCGGGGTCCAACCGGTTTTGTTTCGTGAGGAGAATATCACCAAGTTCCTCAATGCAGCAGCGTGCTTAGAGACAATTGTTTAGGCCTGATAGTCTCTGAGAGGTCTCATCAACTGAGATCTGTTTGCGCTTTCCGCGAATCCGGACTATTGGGAACGGTCTCGACCCAGCGGCTTCTGCTTTTGGAACATTGAAGTGAGACCAAAAGGCAGCGGCTCGAATTCCTATTTGGGTGCGTGTTTTTCTGAGTGTACCTTTTTTTTTCGCTGGAAGCCAGAAGGAGAAACCATTTTGCGGCGAGATGCCGAGGCCAGGGAGTTGGGGCTTCCCGAGAGCTCCATGTTCGATACTCCGGACTTGCCGGGGCACCGAAGCGAGACGAGCGCGCGGGGGAAGTTGCGGGGATTTTGGGCTGCAAGCGCGGGGGAGCAGCTCGGGCTTGAGGATGCCGGCTTGGAAGACTGAGCCCACGGCGTGTTTGGAGGGCTGAACGGGGATTATGGATTTCATGCCCTTTTGAATAAGAAATGGCAAGGGCTGTGTCAGCGACACTGTCACGGAGGCGGAATACGGGGTGCGTGAGCTTTGGTGTTGAGGTATGAGGAGAAGAACTTAGATTCGGCACCGGCCTTGGCTAGCAAGCTCGTTGCTTTATATCCTGCAATGCGGCGTGCCTCCATTTTAGACTGCAACCGGTTGTTGGTTTGTTTTTTGGCGGTTGCCAGGTTGACAATGCTTGAAATCGGCTGTGCAGCCAAAATATTGCTTGAAGCTACGGGTGCACCAAGTAGTGCTTTGCAGCTTGCCGGAAAGCTTGTACAGCTTGCAAGTACGGCTACAGTACAGTACGCCCAGCTTGTGCTAAGATACCCACACATGGTCATTTCTTTGCAGGGGGTTGCTTGTGAATCTGCGAGCGCGAGCACGCATGCCAGCGAGGTGATCACCTGCATCTACGTGAGGGCCCAAGAAGCTCACTGAAAACCAACTAGCCACGAATGGGCGCGGCCGTTTCCGGTTCCTTTACGTCGTACCGTTCTGGGTGGCCGGGTTGGGATGACTCCCATGTCATGGGGTTTCGGGTGGTTTCCCCTATTTGACTGCCGGGTTTGGAGGACGACTGGCCCATGTCATGAGGCCTTGGGTGGAGCGGTGCAGACCATGTGCCCTGACTTTGGCGGCCAGGGCCTGAGCTGTTTGGGCCGTTGGGGTCTGCTTCCGCCCATCGTGCCACTCCAAGGGGCGAGCAACTTTGCGAGAACCTAGCTTGGTGGAGGAAAAAACCACGCCACTCTTCAGCAAATCAAGATTAGTTCAACATGATTCAGCAGGTACCATTCCTACTCAGTAAAGCATTTGGATCCAACAACCCAACAAAATCTGACTGCAACTAATTCCCTATGTCCATTGCCACAGCTCACGGCACCCAAGCACTGAATTGCTTTGGCCAAATGCGACCTTTCGGTTGCCAAGTCAGACTTTTCCCAGAAGCGCATCTTGGGCCCGGGCAATAATTCAATGTGTACAACCCACAGCCAGGTACATGGAACAATTAAGAATGGACCAGCCTTAAGTTGTAAGGGAGCCATGGCGCCATCCGCGTGGAAGGGTCCGACCCCTTTTGCCACACTGCCTGATGTCAGAGATTTTCACACGCCATGCATTGCGCGAAAAAGTTGCAGTTCAGCGGGAAATTGTATCAGGCAAGCAGAAGAACTGGGGCACAGAGAGTCAATACTTGATCATTGAGACAAAAGCAAGGGCAATCAAGACAGCACCAGATTGATTATTCGATACTCACGGTTCTCTGATGAATCCTTTCGTCAGTTCTTCCAAATTCTCCGTGGCAAGCCAAGCAAGAGCAAACCCTTCTGCGCGTCAGGGCCCAAGCTGGGCATCCCACTGATCGCCAAGGGCAAGGAGCGGACAGCTGGTTCGCACCTTGTCGTGGAGAATTCCTCCCACTATTTGGCTATGAATCTTGATGGTGGGTCAAAAATGCGTACCGAAAATGGAACCCTGGTAAATGGAACCAAAGACTAAAACCTGCGGTCCCCTGGTGGGTTTGGTTTTGACCCACACCCAAATGGTTGGGGAACATAAATCCCCGCCTCAATGATGTCCACCAGATGGTTCATTAAAATTCACCCATGTAACCGAAGGCACCTGAAGTCACCTGTCTTGAACAGCCGGCTTAGAGGAGCTTCTGTCAGCCCCGCTGTGAATGGTCAGCTGTTCAGCGAGCGCGCTGATCCGTCCAGGATGCTGCAAAGCCAAAGAGCAAGACAGCGCCGCATTTGCTGCACTTGGATCCCGAGCAGGCACGGTGTGCCGCAACTCTGTTCACTCGTGTTGCTTTTGGTACTGCAGAGAACTTTGTAGAACCTCGTAGAACTTTGTGTAGCAATTTCCTTTACTTTTGCTAACACGTCGGTTGTGCTAGTTTCTAGTGGCTTCTCTGAAGTGAACCTTTCGTCGTGCTAAGTTCACAAAAGGTTTGCCCGTTCATTCCCGCGAGTCCATTACCCTCCTGCGTTTTCGCTTGCCTTTTGGGACATTGTGAGCCTGAGCTTTACATTAGCAAGTGTGTTTTCGTGTTTTTGGGGTGTTGCCGCGGTGTTGTTGTTTGCTCTCTTCCGCCACACATGTCTCTTTGCCCTCTGTGATTTGGGTGTGGCTCAAAGTTAAAGACACAGGGTTACGCAGGTTTTAGTGTTCATTTCCATTTCGCCAGGTGCCACTGGTGTGGCGGCTGTTTTTCGCCCTGCCATGTGTGGCGCTTCAGGTCCAATGAGCTTCCCGTACCGGGGCTCGCTCCCGTGTGCGCCATGGAGCGAGCGAGCGCCAGCGCGCGCAGGTCGCCTCCATGCGCGCAGAGTTTGAGATCCTGAAGGAGGGCCACGGCAGGCGCGCTCCCGCGAGCCCGCGAGCCCGCGCGCCGGTGGGAGGCCAGAGGCCCTTCGGCCCATTGGGGTTGGTTCGATATTGGGGTACCGAGAAAGAGCATGGAGTTGATCAGATGCAAAGATCACTGGTGAAGCCGTATTTGTCACCGGGCTCCCCGGTGGATATGTTCATTGGCGACATGGCCAGCTCTAGCCAGCAGTCCGCTCCCTCTCTGTTGAGACGGGTATGAGACACCCAGCTGACGGATGCATTCCTGGATCCCTATGAGGTAGAACCACCATGACAGGGTAAAGCCTCGAAATAGGAGCATTGAACAGGTTGCAGGTCTCTACTTGCAGCGCTTGCACGCAGAGTGGTTGCGAGAAGACGGAGCAGCCACTTCCCAAGTCCTGATGGGTGGCGTTATGCCAGACGTTGCCAGGCTGGAAGAGGAGAATGCCCTGCTGCGAAAGAAATGCGAGGCAGATGCAGAGTCTGAAGGGAGTGCGGCCAGTGCTTCCTCAGTGCTTTTGTGAGAGATTAAATGGACAGTCCTCAAGGCCACGGTTGCATTTGCACTGCACGTGTAGATGCAGATGGGAAGATAGCTGGTTACATTCGGCTAGCTCTGGGCAACATGGTCAACTCAGCTATTTGTGGCTGCAGTGCGTTTGCCCCTTCAAGCCTGCATGGAAAGCAGGGATACTGCTGCGTTGCCAGCATATCTTAGTCCTCCTTTGCATCCTGCTTTTCGGCGATCGATGGCGGTGTTTCCTGAAGGCGAGCGATTTCAATTCCGATCACCTCTCGGTAATGTGTCGGGCTCTTCTGCACCCAACATGCTGCCAGAACCTAGCTGAGATGATTCTACATGGATCCTTTTCTCGGGGACGAGTTCTTCAACCCTACCGTTTCCTATGTCATGGGCTGAATCCGCTTGTTCTCACTGCTTTCCCTTCTGGGCGTTCATTTGGGATACACACCAATTTATCCAAGTCCTGGGTACACATGCCCATTTGGGGTATTGAGACCAACTTCTCTCGCAAAAAGTTGCCGGTCGCGAAAGTGGGTGTCCATAGGTGTCCGTTTTAGGTTAGTTTGGTCAAACATAGGGTTCCACTGGTTTAGATGGGGTTGATCACCCATTTCCCAGAAAAAAGCCCATCTATGTCTCCCCTTCTAGGGCGAAAACGGGCGTCCAGGTGGACATCCCCCACTGGGCCTCGCAAGTGCGGCAGTGTGGCCTGGACTTGGAGGAGGCGGCGCGGCCCATCGTCTCCGTGCCCTTGGGCCAGCGGCCAGGAGCCTAGGATCGAGGTCCAGTCGAGGGGTCTGTTGCGCCATGGGAGGGTGGGCAAAATTAGGGGCCCTTTCTGGTATGGAGGGGTACTTTTTTTTTTTTGTTTTTTTGTTTTGTTTTTCTTTCCAAAATAAATCCGCACCTTCTTGGTATCCCCTTTAAAAGGCGGCACACGGCGGCACCCACTCCCTGGGTGGTATCCCTATGAGCGAATGGCTGCCAAACCTATGGCGCCGGCTGAGGCTCTTGGACCTGGTCCAGGTACTGCAGGACACTGAGGCAAGGCTAAAGACACGGGGTCCCGGCTGGTGTTGCAAGAGACACCGGGGAGAAACAATTGCCATTTTCAGGGTTCCCTGGAAAACAAATGTACATGTGTATTATTCACACAAGCAAACGCACACAAACACACACGCATGCATGCATCATGCCTGCGTGCGTGCGTGATGCGTGAGTGCGTGAGTGCGTGAGTGCGTGAGTGCGTGAGTGCGTGCGTGCGTGTCTGCGTGTGCGCGCGCGCGCGCGTGTTTTTGTGTTTGTGTTTGTGTTTGTGTTTGTGTTTGTGTTTGTGTGGGCGTGTGGGCGTGTGGGCGTGTGGGCGTGTGGGCGTGTGGGTGAGTGGGCGTGTGGGCGTGTGGGCGTGTGGGCGTGTGGGCGTGTGGGCGTGTGGGGGCGCGCGCGCGCGCGCGCGCGGGTGTGTGTGTGTGTGTGTGTGTGTGTGTGGGTGCGTGCGTGCGTGCGTGCGTGCGTGCGTGCGTGCGTGCGTGCGTGCGTGCGTGCGGGCGGGCGGGCGGGCGTGCGTGCGTGCGTGCGTGCGTGCACACACGCGTGCGCGCGTGTGCGTGTGCGTGTGCGTGTGCGTGTGCGCGTGCGCGTGCGTGTGCGTGTGCGCGTGCGCGTGCGCGTGCGCGCGCGTGTGCGCGTGTGCGCGCGTGTGCGCGCGTGTGCGCGTGTGCGCGTGTGCGCGTGTGCGCGTGTGTGCGTGTGTGCGTGTGTGCGCGTGTGCGCGTGTGCGCGAGTGCGCGTGTGCGCGTGTGGCTGTTTCTGTGTCTGTGTCTGTGTCTCTGTCTCTGTCTCTGTCTCTGTCTCTGTCTCTGTCTCTGTCTCTGTCTCTGTCTCTGTCTCTGTCTCTGTCTCTGTCTCTGTCTCTGTCTCTGTCTCTGTCTCTGTCTCTGTCTCTGTCTCTGTCTCTGTCTCTGTCTCTGTCTCTGTCTCTGTCTCTGTCTCTGTCTCTGTCTCTGTCTCTGTCTCTGTCTCTGTCTCTGTCTCTGTCTCTGTCTCTGTCTCCGTCTCTGTCTCTGTCTCTGTCTCTGTCTCTGTCTGTGTCTGTGTCTGTGTCTGTGTCTGTGTCTGTGTCTGTATATGTGTGTGTGCGTGTATGTATATTTATATATATCAAACAAATGTATATGCATTTTGCGTATGGCAGGCAAGTACCCGGCTGCGAAAAAAACAATTTTCCGGATTTCTCTTTGACCTCAGCTCTCATTTTGCTTGAGAAGAGGAGGGCCTTCGGGGGCTGCGCGGCGCGCCACTGCGAGAGGACCGGGTTTGCAAGGGTTGCTGTGGCAAGTATGCAGTGAATGCTACCATTTTGGGGTAGGTGCGCCACCCATTTTAGTCTATTTTTGTGGGGATTGGGATGTTCACTGGGGGTACGGGCTTTTGACCCATGGCCAGTTGATGTTCTTCCACCTTCACAGATGAATGAACTGGGCACCAAAGCCGAGTGTCGCGGCCAGTTCACGATGGAGGACAAGGCTGGAAGGTAGGTAACAGGTCTCCCACATGCTGGTTGCACCATACGCCTTCAATCTGCCAGTTTTACGAGGAGAAGCCACAAATATCAGCGTGCAACATAGATCTTGCATACATGCTGTACTCTGCAATCATGTTGTTGGCATTACGCCTCCGCTATCCCGGCCTGGATGTACATACCTATTTGGCGTCACCCGAAGTGACTCAAGGGGTCTGACAACAACTATCTGGTTGTTCCGAAAGGGGTCGAAGCGACGAGATCCGAACAGCTCCCTTCTCAGCTTCAGGAGCTTGAGGAGCTGAGGCGCGCCTTTGCCCGGCACTTGGAGGAAGGAGACGAGCCACGAGCCACGAGCCACGAGCCACGAGCCACGAGCTCGTTGCTCATGAAACCCCACTGCATGTTGCAGTGGGGTTCATGCGCCTGCATGCGTGCGTGCGTGCGTGCGTGCGTGCGTGCGTGCGTGCGTGCGTGTGGGTGCGTGGGTGGGTGGGTGGGTGGGTGCCTGGGTGGGTGGGTGTGTCTGTGTGTGTGTGTGTGTGTGTGCGTGTGGTGCATTGGCCAGCACTTTTGACTGATGTTGAGGCACAGAGGTCCTTGTTGCGAGGGTCTCCAATCTGACAGTAAGAGATTTGGACTCTGCGCATCACCCTGCAGCATGTCTCCGCAAATGATTTGCTTCGAACCGGAGACCTTTGCTTTCAGCTGGTTGACAGAGACAGAGTCTGCTAGGTTTGGCCATGGCGAAGAAAGATACCTGGAATACCCCTTTGGATTCTCCGCCGCACTAGGTTTCAACGTGACCTGATTCTGGTCGTTTCCTGAACCAACATACCCTATGATGGGTGATGCTTGGAAATGTCGTTTTGCACACTGATGCATAGGGGTTGTGGACGTGCGTGAGTTGAACCCATGTCATAGTTTTCAATAGGGTTGTGGCTTTCGCGCACCTCTCCTTCCACGTGCATTTGTGCGCCTGCGCGCGCAGCGCGCGCACTGACTGGCTTCCTCTGACCCTTGCGCGCGGGTTTGAGACAGGAGAGCAGCGTGAGGCGGCCTTGCGCGGAACCCAGAGGAAAGGTTGAGGAACGAGAGCCAAGGCGTCGTGTTATCCTGCATCGGTTGTGGCAGTCTTCCTCAGCACTTGTAGAGAGCCTCACTTTGGAGTTGCAGACAGCTGTTGTGCTCATTCATAGGGGGCCCAAGATGGCCCCCAAGAAAACAAGCACCTTGAAAACACACACCCATATAACAAGACGTTTTGTGGAAGGCGCTACCCCGGGCATAGAAGCGCTTGGAAGTTTCATTTGCATGATTTTCCCATCCTCTCTGCGACCCATCGGCCCCAAAGCAGTTCTTGGCATTTCAGGGGCTGTTCACTATCTCCTCTCCGTGTTGAACTCTTCTCTCTGGGACTCTCAATCCCTTCACGCCGGAAAACCACAGGGTGTCTTTTTGATACCCTTTCTGGAAGCCAAAAGAAAGACTGGCCGGCGGTCCCAACGGATTTTGCGACGCCCCCATGTGTTTCAAGTCGTTGGAGTCGGCGCTTCAAGGCAGCAAGAGCTCGAGATGCTACGCAAGATGGTGCCTGAGTCGCCGAATTCGGTGCTTTGAGCATGACACGAATGGCCAGTAGCCTGGCTTTTTTCGGCATTGTTGAAACATCTGTCAGAGCATGCTGGATCTTTGCAGTTGCATTTGTTTGTGCCTCAAGAAGACAGACTTAGTGTCGGGAACAGAACGGTTTGGCCATCATGACGTCGTCTTCTGATGACACGCTAATATCAGCACTTAGAGAGCTTCTTGATTGTACAAAGTGGCTTGCGGCACGCTGAAATCAGCGTTTGTTTGCAACCTTGGTTGATGGCTCTAGTGGAAGATGGACGTACCCCGTTCCAGGTGCTTTTCTCACTCTTGTGCTGTTTTCTGCTTGGCAAAGCTAGCGACACTAAATGTAAGCCAGCGGCGAGCTACGCATAGACTGCACCTTGTTGCACCCTGTTTGCTATAGGGATGTCCGGCAGCCTCGGCCATCGCCAATGAATTGGGGCCAATGCGTGAGTGGAGAAAGCTGCGCAAGACCTTCCTGCGTTCCGCCAGACCAAATGGCCATCCAACTTGGTGGACCCCTTGGAAAGTGGTTGGTGTCCTCTCGACTTTCTTCTAAACCTGCAGAAAACGATCCTTTCCCTGAAACCCCGATACCGCACGCGGGTGAGAGCAACCCGTTTGGCACGTGCGGCCCATGTTTTTTTGATGAGAGAGGACCCCCTAAGAGGCAGCACGCATGTCTGGCCCTGAAGTTTACGGACAACTCTCAAAATGGTAGGTGACCATGGCTCCCCATGTGAATGATGCCCAACAGATCCCCAAATGGAAGCTTATGCCCATTTCAATCCATCTGGCGGTTCGAAAATAGTTTCCTTGCCGCAGGTTGCCACTGGTGGGTCGATTCGTGCCTTGGCAGAGTGTGTCGCAGGCGGGTGGATTGAGCCAAAGCCCTTGATTAGATCTTTCCGGACGACCCCAAAGTAGCAGGGCAAGACCTCGCAGTACGAGAGTCCAACATCTGCAACCAGGTTGGAAGGCATATTCCTTGTTAACATCACAGCTTCGCGCTTTCGGTTCAGGCTGTAGCCACACGATTTCAAGTCGAGTGACGGGATGGCGGTCGCCTGGAGGGATGACGGCTCTTCTGCGGTGCAGAGCACCGGGCCGGAGCTGAAGATCGGAGCCAAGGAGTCCAAAGGATCCCCGGCCAACGCGCTGTACCCTACGGCCCTGGACTCTGGGTCCTACTTCGAGGTCACCTGCCAGGAGATTGAGCACGGCAGCCCCTTCATCGGCATCGGCACGGAGGAGAAGTTCGGCGCCGGCTATAGCTGCAAGGGCCTCTTCTATGGCGGCCCGGGGAACTTGTCCGACGGCGGGGGGTGCCTGAAGAGCCAATGGGGCGAGGACGTGAAGAAGGGCGATGTGGTGGGGATCTTGGTGCAGGTCAAGGACAGCAAGCTGACGATGACGGTGTACCACAACGGACGATGCCTGGGCCCAGCCTTTGAGGCCGCTTACTCCGGGAGCAAGATCTACCCGGTGGTCCGCGCCAAGAGCGAGGGCGACATCTTCCAGATCGCCACACCGCCGGCGCCGTCGGCGCTGACGCGGGAGAAAGCGAAGGGAGGACATCCAGCCGCCGGGAAGTGGACGCTGGACAAGCTCCTTGTGGGCCCTGAGCTCGGGGAGTCTTTCTTGGCAGCGAAGATGAAGGGCGCCCCCCCCCCTTCCGTCACCGTGGAGGAGCAAGCCGGTGAGCTGCGCCTGAGCATCAAAGTGGCCAACACCTTGAACTTCACCGCAACATCCACGCCGGATGCGTCCTTGGCGCCGTTTGATGCCCTCACTGCTGGCCCAGGAATGTCCACCAAGATGCTGGGGCCGGAGGGTGCGATGGAGGTAGAGAGCAAGATCGAGGAAGCCATGCCCACGATCCAAAAGTGGCTTGCGAAGGATGACACGCTGATCATCAGCGGACCTACCATCGAGATGACATGTACCTTGTGTGCGGGTGCAGACATCGTAACCGATCAGACCATTTAAATAGAATAATGATCGCAATGACCGCATTAGCTTGATAGATTCCAGGCCCCAAGAGCACTCACCAGGGACTTCTCCGGTATTTTGGAGACAGGCTGGCGATTTTCGACCGCAGCGTCTTGACGTAGGTCCAGCCTGGCCGGGTGATTGTTACCTCTTGGCAGCTGATTGATTGCAACCAAGGCGAGCAAAAAACCATTCTTCGCGCCTGAGCATACGGCTGTCATATGGCAGGTCGAGTCACACATCAGCCAAGCTGTTTCCCGGAAGGGGGAAGGGGTCTGCCACCATTCCGTGTTTTCGTATGAATCTATGAGGCTGTTTGCGACCGATCATCGGACAATATATTTACCAGTCATGGATAAGAGGGTCCAAGCGGGTGTTGCATTGTTGCAGTGTTGCAGCGCATTCCAAAGCCACCCTGCTGCTTTGCATCCAGGTCGCCACATGATCTTTCATCACTTGGAATACATTGGACATGCATTTTTTTTTTTGCAGTTTTGCTTTTCTTTCTAAACAAGTAAGGGCAGATGGCGTACGCGGTGCCCCGCCCCGTAGTGGAGGCCTTTCGGAAATGTCCCGGCCCCGTGCTCTACTTGGCGGGCAGCTTCAACCCGCCCCACGCAGGCCACCTGGAAGCCCTGAAAAGCGCCGCCTGGCAACTGCGCCAGAGGGGTCACGTGGAGCCGCCCATTCTGGTGGTCGCGCCCAAAAGCGACGAGAGGCTGAAGAAGAAGATGGAAGGGTATGGCGACACTTTCATGTTTCCCTGGTCCGAGCGAGTGAAGCTGTTTCAGAAGCTCATTCAACTCGAGCACTGCGGCGAAGTACATTTCGACGAAGCCTGGCGGCATTTCAGGGGCGAGGCCACACAGATCCGCCGCGACACGGATCGTGCCTTCGGGGCTTTGGGCTGCCAGATTTTTCGAGTCATGGGCGAGGATCGAGTGCGAGACCATGGCTTGGAAGATGATCCGTGGGTTTTGTCCACTCCACGCTCCAAGCTCTCCAGCACTGGCATTCGAAAGCTCTTGGCCTTGGGAGATGGAGATGGGGAGAGCGCTGATGAGTTGAATGCGTTGGTTGGTCCAAAAGTGGCCAGGGTATACATGCAATCCTTTGCCACCCTGTGACGTGGGGTTGCTATGTGTAGCTTGTCGAATTATGTTGGTTTAGTCGGTTACTTGTGCTGTGGAGAAGGCAAAACACCTTTGGAGGGTTTGTGCAACAATCTTTAGAACTCAAATGAGGAAGTTCGAGTGGTTGTGCCTTTCACCGTTGTGGGTAGAGTTGATTGGTCATTCGTTTTTGCATCCTTTTGCAAAGCCATGTAGCCATCATAGTGGCCAGCTCCTGCAACCCTCGCAAAGTGCGGACTTTCAATCGTCGAATCAGCGATCCAGAAAAGCGTCCAGGAGCATCTCGATGTAACCACAAAGTACAATCAACGCATCCATGTAAATTGTCCAATCAGGCAGAATACCAGCACCATCCAGATGTGAAGGACCGAATTTCTGGGCGCTTTGGCATGGCTGAATTTGTACCATTCTCTTCAATACCTGCAGACTCACTGGCCACGTCGGTTATGTTTGTGGCCCAGCGGCTAAACCTGCCAGTCCCTTTCGCTTTCCTTTTGGTTTGAGTGCTCATCCATATCATGCTTATGACTTGTTTGCACCTATTTCCAGCCCAGTCTACAGTCCATCCCTTTCTCTTCATAATTAGTTCCTTTTTGGCGTGCTTTGTCAAGGATGCCAAGGCGTCTCAAAAAATGCCAAGGGTCGATTGACCCGGCTTTCCGCTGCATTTGAGACTTGACGACCGCTCGCTCAGGCTTGAACCACATGGTTCTCGCAGCCTCCGGTGCTGCCCGGGTACCCAATCTGTACTCAATTGATTCCCGATTGATTCTATTGGCCCAGCGGATGTGCCACTTGAGAGGAACCAGCAAATGATTCTTCCGGATGCCTTGCAAGATCATCCACATTCGCCTAACAGTTGTGTGGTGTAGCTTGAATATGGAATATTCCCGGTGCAAAGTCCGGTTGGACCAAGTGCTGGTCGTTGCTGCGGGGAACTTCTGATGTTACCACGCCTTGCTGGAGTTCGAGTGTTATCCTCCAGGATACTGTGGATGGACAAAACCCTGCACTACTTTGATACCGTGGGAAGCCATTTGCTGGTATCAGGGGAGTGATCATTCCAGGGTCTCTTAGGTGCAGGATTTCGTCCACAGTATCGCTCTTGCTTCAGGGTAGACACCCAATCCATCTGCAGGCACTGCTGGCAGGACGTCGGCAGAGCAGACGGTCAGGGGCTGAGGGCTGATGGGAGCGGACGGTAGACGGGCAAAATTTTGCAGCGGAGCAGAAAGCAACCAAGATCTAGACGCACAAAACAGCCTTTCGTCCCATGAGGGCGAGGGTCGGGTCAAACTTGGGTCTCCACATGTTTTGACATCTTCGTCAACTTAGGCTTAGTCAACTAGCTCCTACCTGGGATTTCGATGCATGATGGCTGGGCGCTAGCCTTGCGAGACATCCCTCCTGCTTCCACCAGCATGACTCACGTGCCCTCTCACAATTCAATCAACTTGTTTGTCTGTTCGAAAAGAGGGAGTCCTGTTGTGCAAGCGCCTGGTCAAGTTGTAACCAGCAATGCTGTTGCCTGTTACGAATATTCACAGCTCCTTGATTACAATTAGACTTGCACTTGCACCTTCCCTCAAAGTACTTGCTGCCAAATAGAAACACGAATCACAGCAACATTAGTACCCCAATACTCACCTGTCGCTGGCGCTGGGCATGGCACATTCGAGCCTAAGAGAGAGGGCACGGCTCCTTTCTCGAGTGTCGCCAGGCGCGGCTTGCTTAGGATGCAAGCTGAGGGTTTGGTTTTAGACAGTTGCTGAAACAGAGCAAACTTTGAAGTCCTGTGGTTCCGAATGCAAGCTGCATGCCGATCTTCCGCGAAGCCCAGCCTTTGGCTCCCTTTGCAAAGGGACGTGAGTGACGCGATCCGCATTCCACCATGGGCAACTTGCCGTTCTGCGATTTGTGCCAAGTGGAGGCCGGAGGGTTGTCGTGTTTTCGTGTTTGTTTGCTTGTCAGCGTGCCCACTTGTTTGTATTACTTACAACTCTTTTGAACACACCGTGTGTTTGCTTGTTTCCTTGTTTCCTTGTTTCCTTGCTTCCTTGCTTCCTTTCTTGCTTGCTTTTTCCAATCAGCGTTTCAGTTGTTTCGATCTTTTCTGGGGAGGGCGAGGTATCGCTGTTGTCGCTGTGGTCAGGGACATGCCACTGCATGAACGAGAGTTTTGGATGTTTGTTCAAGTGACGGTTGCTGAAGTCACCGCTTTGTTTTCTGGGAGGACGTGTCAAGGCCCGCCCATTTTTGCGTCCGTTTGCGGGTGGCAGCTTGCAACTTAGGCCAGAGCGCGCAGACCCATTTAAACCATCAGGAGAAACAGGTCAATTTCGATTGGACCTTGGTTTTTGTTAGTGCATGTCTCCTGGGCCAACATGGCGGATGACCACGTGTCGCTTGATCAAAGGAGGAGGGTACTGAGTCTTTTTTAGTTGGCAGGGTGGCAAAAGACCATAAACGATTGCGATTGTCAGTGTATGAGCATCACCAGCTTGCTTCATGCATGGCCCCCCTTCTGGCGTTTTGAAACCGCAGCACGCCATACATGCCATTCACTCCCCCTTGTTCCCCAAATTATCTAGATCTTCGCTTCATTTTGGTGTATTTGGCTCCTTGTTGCTGCTAGTTGTTTTGTCTATGCGGAGTTTTGAGTTGCTTCCAGTTTCGACGGACAGGAGAGATGCTCTGGTCAGGAATCTGTGACGGAATGTGTGAGATTCAGGGATGTCCCATGTTTGATTAGTTTTCCGAACGCACGCGGGGAGGTTCAAATCCGCTTGGGCGGAAGAAAGTAGAGTTCGAAGTCAAAGTCAACGACTTTCCAGCTTCAAAACTGCACTTGGTCCAATGCTGGCCTTGCGTGTTTTGGCAAAGCGGTACACCCATGGAAAGGGCTGTCCGTGACTGTCGCAGGTGCGGGATGGGCTGGACGCAGTGATCAGAGACATGATCATCAGGTGCCTTCGGAAACAGACTGCCTCTTAGTCTTTGGGTCTAGCCTCAACGGGAACCCTTTGAGAATGCCTTCGCAAGGGAACCATGGCACCATTTGAAGGGATAGCTTCCAAGTGGGGAGCGTTGCGGACTTGAAGTTTTGATCCACTTCAGTCAGAGGCGCCATTCCGCCAACAGTTTCAGCCCAAAGAGGTTCCCGTGATAGGGAACAAACTTGCCCGCTTGTTGTCTCCATGTTGCCTTCGTGGCCTCTGGGGTCACGTCGGAAGGCTCTTCGAGCTATACGACTTGAACGGAGATGGAGTGATTTCGGCGGAAGAGATGTATAAAGTGGACCTCGCAGCCCTTGCTGGGCACATGGACGCTGTCCGGGAGGCGCTGTTTGGGGTGAAGGGGGCTCAACGCCGTGTTGCAGGCGTTGTTCTTGAGAGGGGTAGGGCGCTGCGGGGTGCCACATGAAACGGGATCCATTTTGTATAGAAGCGTGATGATCCAGGGGGCTGGCTTGGATTTGAGCAAAGCGACCCGTTCACTCCTTCCCGAACCCGGAGTCAGCTTCAGAAGGCTTGACTTCCGTCTCGCACGAATGCTGCGAGCAAGTTATTTGAAGACTTGCCGCGTTCCCGCGGCCCAAGTTCGGAAATGTTGATTCGCCTCGCAGGAGTACAAGCAGCAAGTATGGAGGCGGGTTGAGATGAAGTTCTGCCAGCACCTTGTCCGAAAGCAGAGGTCCGATGCTTAGGGTGCACGGAATTTGGCCGGGGCTGCCTTGTAAAGCCATCCTTTCCGGACCAAACCCGTAGCTCCTGCAAATGGCTGTATTTGCTGTGACCGCTTAGACACGCGTCCTGGCTCGCTTTCTACGCAGCTGAGTGTTTGATGCTTTGCTGAGCCGAGGATGCATGGCGATTTGACGCCTGTGCATCTCTCCATGTACAAAGCCTACATGCGACTCGGACGCTTAGCTCGTTGCCGGGAGGACAGTCTGTTCTATTCGGTGGGTGCCACCGTGTTGCCTTGGGGCCTGAAGAGGTTTTCATACGGTATGTTCATCTAAAAAGACGGGTTCATTTCTGGCCTTGGCACGGAATCGGAAAGCCCACAAACACTAGCTGCAAGATAAATCGAGCTGTGATAGTGATTGGCCCGTGCACATCTTTTGGCACATGTTGTTAACCAGAGAGCAACTGACGTGATGCTTGATTGACCTATTCACGTATCTCTGCTACTTGATAGTGGCATATAGAGGCTATTCGGACTCAACTGTAGCTTGAGGGTTCACGCCACCAGGCAAAATGCGCGAAAGGCGACGTAGTACGTCTCCGAAGTGCGGGCGAATCAGTTGTTTGACTCTGACCTTTCGAAGCCCCGCCGCAAGCCCCAGAAAACCACTTGAACTGCTAAGGGGCCGGTGGTTGAAAGAGATGGAGCCGAGTGACAGGCCGGGATTTGCTGGCTCATGTGGGCCCAGTTCAATTTTCGGGGGGAGGGGGGGAGATTTCGGCGCCTCTGTGCGTGCGTTTGTTTTGGCCGTGCGCATTTTTTGCGCAGCCTTCCGCACTCGTGGGCTAGCTCGTGTTAAAGGACACGACATGGACTCTCCCCCCATGTCTTGAATTGAGCCATTGGTTCCCACTCGCCAGGAACGCGCGGTTCCTGATAATCGAGGGGGTCCTAATCGAGGCAGGGCATGGTGCGTTCAAGCACACGGGGTTTGGACGAAGAGAAAGCTGACGTTCTTGGCAGTAGCTGTTCCTCTTTCTCTGAACCCGCAAGTCTTAACCGTTCGGCCAGTGATTAACACGACTACGACAGAGGACATGTCAAAGGGAAACTGAGCCTTTCCTTGGTGAAGTGTAGACCCATCGTCAAATCTATATAGCATCTCGTGATACATGCGCCCATATCTTTCCAGTTGGGTTTATTTCGGCGCTCTCTCGTTAAATTTGTGGCATAGGCCCGGTCGGGCCGCCAGATGGTTGAGGAGGAGAGATGGCCCGGGCCCTGGCCCGCCCGGGCGAAACGAAAGCAACCCTCACATTTTATCTTCTTGGTGGACTGGTCGAGGCGGGTCAACAAACTTGAAGACAGTAACAACACAAAGCGCTTGGCTGTTTGGGGTTA